TTTGTAACTCGTAAGTAACGAACCAGTGAGGCACCAAATCTCAGTGTACACAGTACAGTAATTATTTATTATGCAGCAATAATAGTAAAAGCTGAGCTAGAAATTAAGAGGAACTAACGTCCTTTCCTGCTTCCTTAACCCTGCTAAAACGCTTAAAAACAGTGAAAAACCGTCAAAAAACACCAATAACCCTGCTAAAACGCTTAAAAAAGTGAAAAACCGTCAAAAATCACCAATAACCCTGCTAAAACGCTTAAAAACAGTGAAAAACCGTCAAAAAACACCAATAACACTGCTAAAACGCTTAAAAACAGTGAAAAACCGTCAAAAAACACCAATAACCCTGCTAAAACGCCTAAGGGACATAAAGGCTCAATTTTAGGAATCTTCTTTCAAATATTGAGCAGTTAGTAGTTCTAACGGTTGCATATCAGTAAAGAAACGAAATGCATTTGTTTGAATATTCTTCCTAAAAAATAAAAATTGTCAAATAAGAACGGTGTAGGATCAAGAATTCCAGTCGATTTTCAAAACAAGGTGGAAACGAGAATATCGGTCAGAGACCGGAGACTTATTGATCGAAAGTTAGGGGATCCCCCAAAACAGCGCTCTCCATCCATAGTGACACCTTGTGTCCCATCGCTAATTAATTAATAACTCGATAATTATACGACATAATTCGCCCAAAATCAATAGGCGTTTGGTCCGAGATATGATGAATGCACATGCAAAATCTGGAGCAGATTCAATCTCGCTTTCGTGAGATATCGCGTGCATCTAACAGACATACACACATACAGACAGACAAATACCTATCAACATACTTACCGATTAAAATCGATTAGTAATGACATTCAATAACAGGTTTTGCACCAACCTAAGAAATAAGTAATAAACTTCTATGATGTCTATATTTCATTATCATTTCAAATCACTCTCTATTTTTGACATTTATCATGTTTCACAAAAATTAAACCGTAATTTATGTTGTGAGACATGTTATTTAATGTGCAACCCGTAGAAAAACTAATGGAAACGTTTAAATCGTTAAGTTGCCTTCGGTTTATATATCAAACTAACTAAGTAAGAAGATCAAAAGAATATATTGTGACCTCATTATTCGGTGTTGATTAGAATCATTTTGCCGCTAGATAGAGCTCATATGTTACACTAGAAACATGCTCGTGGATGACACAGTTCACGGGCCCTGAGTTATAACGGAAACTCAAATTTGTTAGTACCAGCGACGTAAGAACAATTACTTACTGGCATCTTGCAAGAATTCGCATCAGCTGAAGACAAGTTTCCAACATATTATATCTCCAATATGGAAACGAGAATATCGGTCAGAGACCGAGGACTTATCGATCGAAAGTTAGGAGATCCCCGAAAACTGCGGTCTTACTCCATAGTGACACCTTTTGTCCAATCACTAATTAATTAATAACTTGCTAATCATACGACATAATTCATCCAAAATCAATAAGCTCCTGTCCGACATATGATGAATGCACATGCAAAATCTGGAGCAGATTCAATCTCGCTTTCGTAAGATATCGCGTGCATCTAACAGACATACACACAGACAGACAGACAAATACCTATCAACATACTTACCGATTAAAATTGATAAGTAACAACCAACGATAGCGCGTCAAGCCAGAATAATAATTAATGTGTTTTGGGTATAACGTCTGGTTAAAGATTTTGAACAAGTTGAACGAACGTTAGGTGGATACAAGTCTTTTTTAGTGCAATCCTATTACATAAGATCTTTGAATAACAATCATCATTAGCCAGACTGTGGGAATAACCTGTACGAAGCTTCGCTTTATAACCCACGGTGATGGTCCGTAGATACTCAAACATAGAGCAAGTAAACTATGTCACGACGTCTTGCGTATGGATTTAGTTTTTGCTTTGGTAGTTGGGCGCTGCTTACCTGAACAATTTTTGAGATCAGTGGATCACACAGCAAGTGAAAAAATAGGCGGTTCATAAAACCGCGAAGAATCCGAAACATGCCTGTCAGGGTGGATGTTAATATCACTCAGCTCAAATTCGATAACAAATTTTATGAGATGAAAGGTTAGACAGATATATAAAAATTATTGGAAGGGTTAGGATAGAAAAGGTGCGTGTCAATGTGATGACATCAAAATGATCAAATAAAAATATTAACTTCACAAGAAAATAAGCGGAGTCTCCAACAATAGCAAATGACTAAGTTTATTAATTTCTCATAATAAAATAGAAATCGTCTAAGCCGAGTATAGTAAAATATAGAATCAATGGTTGCTACGTTTATTTCAATGACTCAGTGATTTATTGTATGAAGTTGCCAGTGGCAAGAGATAGCATCACAGTGGTAGACAGAAAGTAAAATTCAGCCTATCTCATCATATTGCATAATTCCAATGCACAACTTTATTTTCCATTCCAGGTATAGCTGCATAAGTGCATGGAATGAAGTGCTCGAAATAAAAGCTCATTGATATCAGAAAACTTTACAAAGTTTTCGCTCACGAAATTTCAACTAGTTACTCAGTGGCGAAAATGCATAATTTTGTATTATTATCCAGGTTGTAGGCCTATATATGTCGAATAATTTTTAACATTTTTGAGTGCGTTTAAAATATTTCATTCACTTGTTGTCAAGCCCAACCTTGTTGTTTTAAAGCTGATATTGTTTATGAGATAAATTCAATTCCCAATTTGATTTATCAACTAATCATTGGATAGATTTGATAAAAATGGACCATGAATGTCGTTCTCAAAGATTTCATTTGTACCGAGTTCTGCATTAACTCACGCAAAACTCACTGTTTCGCGTTTTGAGTCTATCATTACTGTCACGCCACTTATTAGGATGTATCGAAAGCCGCACCGTAGTTCGAAAATACCGTATAAATTTCGTATATATATATGCTGAATCTGTAGATATCGACCTACACGAATACACGGTGAAATACCCGAAACATCTACCTCTTGTTGTTATCATGAACATTCAATCAATTTTTCGTCAGTTTCCCACTGCTGATACTTTTGTCTCAAATCAGGTTTTCTTTTCTCAAAATATCATGAAAATATAGTACTAAATTGTATAATCAAGTTGACTCAAGTTTTTATAGTAATATTCATTAGTCCTGTGCTTCTTGACAACACCGGAAAAAATTTTGGTAACTGACTGAAGATTGTACGTTGTGATGGTTTGAACCGACCGACTGGTATTCCAAAAAGTGAAATAATCTACCAACGGTTTTATTTTAGTTCAGGTGTTTTATTTGTTAGAGAAGTAGATATCTTCCGTCAAACACGACCTTCAATATAAGTCCGTTATGTTAGATAGAAGTTTTTAGTTTATCAAAACTTGATTGTTCAGTCGGTATCATCAGCAGAAAGCCAATTCGGTACAGTATACAAAGAATAGGTTTCAATGAAGCTCATATATAAAACATGGAATTTAGCAAAAAAAAGTGGGACTTCAAATGGGACTTATTTTTTTATTGACATTTGACAAAGATTTTATTTGAGAAACAAAAACACCTGAATGAATCATGAGGCTTACAAATAGTATTATATATTATTCTTACAGACCCACAACTTTCGCATGCAAATTAGGGAAAATCGAGTAAGTACCCATACCCGGTAATTTTTATCGTGCCAGTGTCGAATACCGCATGTGGTAGTGGAACATTATTGTATAGCGAAGCACGCACCGAGCGGGGATTTTATCGGTTTGTTTAGTGACGTAATGTGATATTTCGGCTGTGACAAGCTTGCGCGCGAGAGAGTTGTGTTATTCAGGCGAAGGCAAGCCAGCTTCGTCGAGTGAATAAGTAAGCTATGGCTGTACCAGTTTGTAGATCATGTTTCATTTGTCAATTGTAAAATGATTCGGTGCCACGCAAGTGCACCATGAAATACTAGCATACCCGCCTACTAGAAAGCACGAAACGCTGAAGGTATTTCCAGATTATAAATTGCTTCAGTTTGTAATAGTAACAGTTTTATAAAAGATTGACGTGCACGAATTTTTGGTAGACACATTTAGTAGGAGCCAAAAGTCACTTCTTCAATTTATGTAGCCTACTTAGGTATATTTTATTTTTTATGGAATTTTTGTTGTTGTTATGGAATTTTTAAGAAAGCAGTAAAACTTCAGATGTGTTTTCATGTGTGCTCAATTCTATATACAATCGTCGATGGTACGTTGACCAGGTACGACGACGTTCCGAGCGGAAATTTCATTTTCAATGCAGTTTGCCTCACACGCGGTTTATTCTATAAAATGGGTTATCGTTTATTCTGAGTGACGTAGCCGTCTGCTTAAATAAATCCGGTGGACGTCAAATGTTTACAAACGAGGTTGTCGTTTCAGCAGGCAGCATATGGTAGTGATATATTGATTTTGACTGGGATATTTTTCACTGTATTTTTTGAGAAAGATTACGAACGGTGCCTAAAAATATTTACAAATGTTGATATTGAGAGATAAATAATGTACATTCAGTCACATGTTCAGTGTTTCCAAGCGCTTGAAGCTTTTGAAATATATCGTTTAATATTTTCTGTGAATATTAATAGTCTTGCATTAAATTAGTGCTACCCCAAGTTAGACAAAAATCTTTTTTTTGTTTATAAAAAACTCATGCGTAAGTTTCTAGATCACATTCTATTTTTAATCTCATTCACACTGTCGACATACGCATGACATACTTGGTCGTTTCCCTATGCTTCGATGCGAGTAAGTAATGATAGCACAGTATTTAGTGTACGTTTGCTCTAACCGAGGTCACTCGTGGTAAATAGAGATCCACGCATTGAATGCTTTAGAATGTTTCTACCATCCAAACCACTGAAGCTTCTACTAATATATTATTATTAATTTAGTGAGAGTACTTAAGGTATAGTCGTAATATACAGCGAAATGAGTGTGAATATATAGTTAGATTGTGATTTAATATCAAAACTAATGTATTCTATATGCACCCAAGGTTAATATTTAATACATTATAGTTATACTATCAAGAAAGTCAATTAAAATGGACAGCAGGGGGTTCGCCGGTCGTGAAAACGAGCCTGAATTACAAAAGATGGCTGCATTTTTGAAAGAGAGATGTGACCGAGGAAAGTATGGTCTAAGATACTATGAAAACGACAAAAATATGATTTGTATTCCGTGGCCGACCGTACCAAGGCAAAGCGAAGATATTCCGGACAGTTTTCATATGTTTACGGTATGTGTGCGTACAAATTAAATATTTGTTTGTGTTGCATGCTGGAATGGATTTATGTGTCACTGAATAGTAAAATATCAGCTATATGTCTAGTCGGGCGACGTCCGAACGGCGTCCGAAACGCTGAACACTTTTGTCTGGTAACCTATTTATTGCACGCTGACTGAGTCCAACATTTCAATTGAATAAATTTGAAACCGTGTAATTATGTCAAGAATCCCGGAGTCAGAAGCCATGCGAAAAATGCAGGGCGCCTCGAGTTAACACAATGCTAGGGTAATTATGTTATACATATATATTTGGGATCACAGCTTCGACGCAGAAATGTTCATGCATTAACGACGAGACCATCGTAGATTGGAAAAAAAAACGTACCTTCTTCTAATGTCAGGTAGCTAAAACAAAACCTTTTTCGTTCAACGATGGATATTTTATTTTTGTCACAAGGCAGATCCTTGTTATTAATATAAAGTAATGAAAACGAGCTTGACCCTGCAAAGTAATAGTTTTTTTCACGTAAGCATTGTACGCCTTACGTATAGACGTAAATCCAATGCTACATCGTTTTAACTACCTCTTACGCTACTTGGTCACGTGATCGTCAAGACGCTGTGGTTTGCTATACGAATAAAAAAAGTTTCATTAGGTCTTCGCTTGATTCATCATTGAGATAGAATGCATCGCCGCAAACTAATTATAACAAATCGGGCATATTTTGACAAAATTTAAACGGAAAGGCTTTTCCAACATAGTGGCATTTCACAAAGCCTACACCCCTACTCCTGAAAAGTTGCTCGTCATATATTTCAGTAGATATTAAGAAACATATCAAAAAATAAAACAATAGTATTATAAATTATATTCACAATTGTCAATTTTGGTTGAGAAACAGACCTTAAATGGCTGTAGATCTTTAGATTGCTAACAAACAACTCATATAATATTACATCAATTTTATTTTTAGTCGCTACTAAAACACAGGACCTTTATACATAAGACTGTAGTCAGCAATTGTATTTGTTAAAAAAAATCCCATTGTTGATTCAGCGTTATTTGTCATATGTGTATTAAATTTCGAAACCATGGCAGTTTCGATACGTCTCTTATTCTATTTAATTGTGTATGAAACATTATATAATCTTGAACATGTTTTACATTTGAGTAATTGCACTATAAGAAACTTAGTTTACGTGTCATGCCTTCCGATCAACATTTATTTAAATATTTATGCGATGTCAAATATGGCCTATGATATTAAAACCGTTTGTAAAGTAAGCGAGGATTTAAATTATTAGCCACGTCCTCAGTGACGAAAAAATATCTTTCGGTTCTTTGAAGATAATATTTAAGTACTTTTTGAGTAAAACCTCTGAGTCGTTGACAGCTGTTTTAGAAATGAAATAACGTATGGATCTTATACAATGCAGCGGATGATCAGAAGGATAAACCTCGTTAAAAATTTCTACATGCTCAAAGGCTCATTAGGCTTTCCCGGAATCACCTAACAATGCTAAGAAAGACTTAAGTTCATGCCAGGAAGTATTTAATACTTTAATGATGTTTGCCTACTCATTGTATACTATAATATACAGCAAATCATGCAGCCCGTTCTGTTATCGAGTACTCATTGTGGAAGTAACGTTAGGTGACTCAATCATGCTTCCTCTATTGTGTTCTGACTTATCTGTGGAAAACAACACACAAGCTTTTAAAAATTTTGTGATTTTCAAGGAAAATGTAGTGTTAATGATTGGGAATAAATCACAAGACATTATATGCTTCTGATAGAAATACCAATTCTTTAAATTCGTTTGAAACCTTACCTGTAGGCTATTGTTTATCTCTTACCAAAAAAACTCGTCATATATAACCATGTTTCGCCATATATAAATACCAGAGAAAATGATATAGTTCACAAAGCATTAAGACTCCTTGGAAACATGGCAAACTTGTTTATCACAATGAAAAATTCATTTCGTGGTTAAACCCAATCCATAAGCAGTTCTGATAATTATTCTTATATACATATATATTCCCGCTGTTGTGATTCTGAGTGCAAATCTCAAATCACTTTTTTTTTATTCAAATTTGGTCAGGGCAAGTTTTCGCGTTCTCGTCTCAATAGACTACCGTGTATACGAGTACTGACGAGCTGAAAGTTTTCTACTATAACGCTGTCACGTTACTTAAACCTTTAGTTTGCTGGTAGGAATCCGGGCCTTTTTTTAAATTATGGCGCTTGGTTATTTAAGCTTATGTATTAAAAGTATGTCTAAATTACTCGGATTAATTGTTATCGGGATATCCAATTAAATAAATAAACGACGTAATGTCTTCTGGATTTGGTGCGTTTGACTTGTGTCATATTTTCACTATTATTTTCGTATTTTCTAGTTTCAGTTTCGCCTTCGTCACATCATCTTTGAAATGCGTTTATATCAAGTGTTAACTGTTAACAAATTATAACGGTGATGGTAATTTGACTATACGGATGCTTTGTTGTAAACTCATGACAATATGCATGAATCTATCCATGAGCGTGCGAGGTACTTTCTTATATGCATCGGATGAACATTTGCCATTCATGTTTGCATGGCTTAATTAAAACGTATATGACTTAACGCCGACGTCATTTCCTTCTTGTGTATTGGCTATCCATGTTCAGTATCTCGAATTGAAAATACGATAAACACATCATTCAATCCAAACACGGAAATAAATATCGCGTTATTAATTTAATAAATCAGACAATGAGGTGCAAGATATTGCTGCATGCTGGTGGCTCACTATAATTACCATGAAAGCAATGATCAGATGTATATGCACACGAATGTCCAATTGCAGTATTGTTAGCTTATGTGACTTTTGTAAAAATTTTCATTATCAGAAAAATAAGATATTTTTTCAACAGAAAATTTGCAAAACGATCAATAGGTTTGCTTCGTCTCCAATAAAGTCAATTTTTTTAGTGCAGGGTGATTTGTAATATCGATAGTAAACAATGTATTATTTCTAGAAATGGATCTGTAGTAAATTATTTGTTTCATTTTCTATTCATGGAACTGAATCGCTTTATTCTATATCATTGCCAATAAATCAAAATATATATTTTTTATTTAGGAATGGGCCTATTTGTCCTTCCGAAAACGAGGAGGAAGAGGCGAGCAACTCGAAACAGAAGCATTGAGCGCACAGAAACATCGATTCAGGAACGCACTAGCAAGGGCAGACGGATTGAAATGCAATAAACAGCTTTCTACTGATACACTCAGAGTCTATGAATTTGCCGGTAATTTTTTTTTTCGATAACAACATTCATCATTACCCATATTAGCCAGCCCAAAATTTCTTCAAAACCTTAATTTTCAAGATTGAACTACCACTTCACCGCCTTTAAATTGAATCACATACTTTACTTATACTGTCTGTATTCATTGTATTTCATTATTTTTACATTTGCTCAGATACTAAAAAAGAGAAAGAGCAAACAGAAAATGGAAATTTCCGGTCTGGAAGAGGAGGAAATTCACCTCACTCTTATTACGAACAACAAGCAGCCCCTGAAAGGAATGATTATGCGTATAATGTTCAAATGCATCACCAAGGTGGAATACCAGGTAAAACTATTATTCTCACACATATTCTGCTTTGCACACGTTCACAATGCTTGCAAATTATTTACATTTGGAGGATCCCTGTTCCAAAGTAAAGTCATTATTCAGGAAAATATAAGTATGATTGTACACCCATACCTGTTTCTAAAGTAAGTGATCCATATTGGAATCCCCATACATATGCTACACTTTTTACTTGAAGATAGGAATTCCATCATGGGCCTGAGCCTTTAGGAGCTTTAAAGTTAATATATCGTCACGCTAATAACCGAATTGCGTTTTTAGCAGTTTTGAGAAAAACGTAAAAAACTTTCTAATGATATTGTTATGCCATTGAGAGTCAATAATTTGCCATGGTTCAACTTTTTGATCGTAGCCGGATTCAAGTTAATTTGTATGACGCAGTTAAGTGACGTCATAATGGCGCACTGTGACTTAGGCAGAAATGTGTCTATGACTTAGGGACATACGCAATTTTGCAACTTTACTATATGCACCAGTTCCAAAAACTAAACATTTTAAAAACGTATGTAATTCTCAGTATCTACAATGTCTAATCCCCAAAATAGCTAATCAGTTTCAATTACATCATTTTTTATGTTCAAAAATATATATTTCATCAATATAACACGTTCTGCACACCCACCGAAATAATACTAAGATAAAATATAAGAATAAAACAGCAATGCACCCAATATAAAAGCCAAACAAGGTGAATTGGACTCGGACAGTGAATATCACAAGTGCACGTCTTCCTATACTGTAGTATAAATTCAAATTAATACGCGCCAAGCTAGAATCCGAGATGCAAAAACTCGAAAATACTTCGCCGAGGTTATTTTGCCTTTGTGATGTCACAATAGTCCTGCGGTAACCATGATAATTCATTATGACGAAACAATTGCACGAATGTGCATGTCATACTAAATCTCCATTTTTATGGGTTTCGGAATTCTTAAAATAAAATCTGAGTTAACAGACAGGTGCGCAGCATTACATAAATACCTATTTTATAAAAAACTCAAAATCGCCAAAAATGACTTACGCAATTCGGTTATTAGCGTGACGATATATACCCGAATGTAGAATTTTATTTCGGTAAAATATGAAATGAGTATATTAAAAAATCAAATACCAGAATATTCATTTAAAATCAGTCATCTTTGGCAACGTGAATACATTAACACACATAAAAATGAATTCTTAAACTATAACGATTATTGCCAACTGCCATAAGCAAAATTACACAAAACTGACACAATTTTGCAGATAAGTCGTATTGACTGCACAAAACTGAGTTTTAAAGCCGCTGTATTACCGTCCTATAAGATCATTATTGTTGTAAATCAAATTCATATCTAATATCATATTATTTTATCTAAATTAATATCTCCCAACATCACTCAACTAATGATCTCATATCAAACAAAATCCTTTTTAGATAAGAAATATGATTTTATTAATATTTTGTGAATATATACAATATAGTGGCGAAAAGCATCATATTTGGAAAGCACCACCGGGTTCTAAAGAAGTTCCTGGAAATTTTTTCATTGTTTCGTTTTTCTAAGCTAAGAATTTTGTGGTTAACTCAAACTCTATGTTTATTCAAGGGTGCAGTGTACTGTATAATGAAATTCCTCTCGGTATATGTAAGCGAGTCAAACTGAATAATTAATCGACATCAAGAAAAGTTACATTTTTTGCATTTTGATCGGAACCATTTAGTTTCAATAATGTGCTTTTTATTTGTGTTGGTGTTGAGCTATCGAGATTTTCACAACTCGGAACACAAAAATGCTATGATTCCTACATATGAAATCTGTAAAAATTCATTGGATTAATTTAACTTTGTATTTTATTTTTCTGAAATGTGGATTTTGAATCGACTTTTCAGTAATACTTTTACGTCTTTTCTATAGACCAACGTGAATGGGAAAACTACGGCAGCTCTCCTATGACAGTGACATCATCACCAAATCACATAGCATGCTTCCAACCCCAGACAAATTTTCAGATTCCACAGACGACAGAAATGCAGGACGACAGAGAGCCATCCATCGGTACCCTTATTGAAGAGATGATAAACACGCCTGAACCCACTCTCCCGGACGCTCCTGTGACCATCGATTATCAGCAACCGAACGGCGCGTACAGCACATACGCTGTTCCTCAACCCGTTCGCAATGTAACTACAGCGTCGCATGTACCTCAACAAGATTATCAAATGGTCCAAGCACCGCAGCTACAAGTTCCAAATCGATACGTGACAGCCACTGCAGGCCCGCACATGAACGGTCACTCGGCCGTTTCTCCGCCACAGAATTTAAATGAGAGTCTTCTAATCAAGGTGTATTTTCGTGGTAACGAGGTCATGAAAAAATCAGTCACTAATTCTTCCGGATTTCGATTGTACTCCGGCAACAACATTCCTGATATGTCGCGACTTCTTGATACAGCACAGAGAGATCAACTTCAGAGACTCACCAGATTCAATAGCGAATACTTATTCGGTCCAGATTCAGTGGAACAGGTGGAAGTGAGTCTTGTTTTAAATATTTTTTAATCAAAACAAAACGAACGATCAGCTACGTTTTTTCTTACCTTTCTCTGTAAAATCTCCCTTTCTATATTTATTACTTGAACATTTTATAAAATAAGGATAAAGTAAGTCATCAACTGATATAACTTCAACAACTAAATTCACTTAAATTGTCTTTTTACGGCGCGTGTGCTGAGTAGTCAATATGACATCCCATCGCTTAAATTTTGTGGGAACGTGTAATAACCCCTTTATTAATTAACTGATATCCAGAAAATTGACGGCGAAGAATCAAATCATGACTATAGACTAAACAAAATACCAACTAGACTAGACGATGAAAAACATCTTATATTTTTTTTATATGTTACTGAGTAAACAATTCGATATATATATATACCATCCCGCTTCGCTGTTGCATCACTATAAATGCATTAAAAATGCTGGGTTAATCTGATTTCATTTGATTACTTTACGCGGTGTATATGGATCATTATGCAAAATTGTAGTTGAGATGCTTTGGGTTGTTGTTATTTTGAAATATCGCTTTTCTGAGCAACTAATAAGCCAACGAATTACAAAGTGTCGGTACTTGAAGGTTGACGAGAACGCTGGAATGCTGTTACTTTTTGGGCCTATCTACCCGAAATTTTACTCAAAATTTTCTAATTTAATCAATTTAATTCACAGCCACTTTAATTCGATATTTGACTATTTATATTTGGGTATTGCTCTCTTGTATACAGTTTGTAGATGTTAAGTGCCATACATTGGTTGACCATTGATTCAAAGAAAACACTATGTGAAATTTTGAAATCGTAGGCAATATAGGCCTACAACAATCATCACGATCTGTATAACGTCGCTTTATTCATTAACTACTCTGGGGGTTTCCATCGGGGTCGACGAGTCATATTTTAGAATGAAAATTATTAACCCTGTACCAGCAGACATGATTTTATTGCATTTCCCACATTTATGTATTTCTAGCAAACAGCGATGAACGTGTTATTTCGTTGGTCGAAAGCAAATTTGTTTTATATAGCGTGAACTGAAGCGAATCCAGGGACAAAACAGCCTTTATAATAAAACATTATTCATCATCGCTCAGTGGATCGCAGTCTTCAGCTGTATAATCCATGTCTTACGCCTAAGTACAAACAAACAGTAATCCCGGGTATGTGTCGCTTAAAGATGGCGAATGTTGAAAGAAGATAATAGCTGGTCCTTGTAGATATTTCCATCCGATATTACTCAAATACCGATCATTCTAACAAAGGAAAAGCTAGAATTATTTAGACTGGGAACTTCCCATTCACAAAAAGTTTTTCGGGTATATAAAATATTTCGTGACATGAATAGCAACACCAAACAGGCATTTTCAAACCTCTACGTCACTTTCAATAAAGCGGATCTGTGTGGCTGTTTTGATATCGATGTGATTAATAATCAAAGGCAATACTTCGCAAATGATCTTACTGATTGTAATTATTTGAATCATCTAAATGCAGTCGACATATACCTTATCGTCAAATAAAATTGTTTCATGTTGTTCTATTACAGTGGCATGATGAAACGACGGATTTTAGTTATTTTATTTCCCAAACTCTAAAATCTAAATCATCATCAATGTAATGTTCGTTACACAAGTCCAACCAATCCTTCCTATTTTATTTTAGATGCCATCCATAAAACAGATTACAGACAAGCAAGCATTACAAACGAATGAGATATTATCAAATATGGATCGAGGACTCATATTTTATATTGAAAACGCGAATAACGACGTTACGCCATATGACCAAGCTATCATACCCAATGTATATTGTATCAGACTCTGCCAAACAAGGGTGAGATGAGGCTCATTAATTTTGTCTAAATCTTGATTTTTACTTTTCAGAAATTTTCCAGAATTATTTAAAATACAGAAGTCAACGGATCACAAAATTACAATTTTATGATTATTTTACTAAACAAACTTTTGTTGGTTGAAAATTATTTAATGAAATTTTAGCCTTCCTGTATAAGTCACATTCATCCCTTTGCACAAAAATATCGAGGATGTTAAAAAATTTTCGGGTTTTGTGCATAAAATTTGTGTTCGATTCCCAATAGATTATATTATTACGTCATTCCACATGTGTCATACATTGTATGATAAAAAAAATGACCTCTCCTTCCTGGTTTGTGACCTTTTATCATCTTCGTTGACAATAAGCACAGACATTCAGTTAGGGATTAACATGGAAGTGTACAACTGTCTTGATGACTCCGCCCGTTGGGAACAAATTTTTGTACAAATTAATAGCTATGTATTAGATTGTTTTTGTGGTATATTTATTAATTTTATGTTTCCTGTGAGTAAAACTCCAAATATAATGGCAACAATACTCAACTCATCGTATCAAATGATTCTATAGATCATTTTGTGGTCTCGGGAGATGTGATGCTTGTTTTTTAAATGGGTTTCTTTTTGAAGCATATTTTGCAAACCTTATTTTATTACAAATATTTTATCTTTCATATTATATACATTTTATTCCAAAATTCGCCCTACTTACTGTGTACGAAAAAGTTAAGAAAAATTAAAAAAAGGTTTAGGGATAAGATTTCTTTTAAACCGCATATCTACTATCATTTCTATTACAAGAATAGACCCACCCAGTTCGCAGCGTCTTCTATGCCGTAATTTGACACATCTAACCAAATAGGGTCTATGAATTCGTGGAATATTTCAACTGATCATGATATGACGTAGTGAAAACATATTATTAAATTTTTAAAAAACATCCGCTGTGGACATGACAGTTTCGAATATTGGAATATACCCGCGTGATTTATCTCATATTAAATTTGAAATTATTTACATTTTATTGAATTTATTTTTATATTTATATATTTCTTTATTATATCATTGTTGTTGTTTTAGGTCTTCCCATATGGTACTAACGTGCAGGAAAGTGATGCACTTGAATGTGACGGTTTGGCGCGAATGAAATGGGCAAAGATATTCGACTCAAACGAGTTTTTGCGCCAGATGTCGAGAACTGGAACCACACCGTCGTCGACCATTAAGCTTTCTGTGGGACAAAAGCCGAAGAAACAAGAAGGTCTTCATTGTTTAGTGTCCATTACAGTTTCGGTTACGCAAGCCAAAATTCTTGCTGATCGTCAAGTGGAAGACCAGCTAGATGAGATTTTCATCTCTGACAAGAATTCGATGGACGTTGCAGCGCAACTTATACAAAACCAAATTCGTCAAAAAATTCAACTGGACGACAACGCCGTTGTCATGAGATCATAAAAAAATAAAATACAAGCTGTATTGCTTGTTCGGCTGACCTAAAAATTCAATTACCGGTCAAATTAAAAAGATACATTGCCAATTGCCATAGAAATCCCAGGACTCTTATGGAGTTCAGACTCTTGCGCTTGAAAAATTGCATCATTTGAGAAGAAAAATGTATCCACGTGCATTGATTTGAAGTACTTTATTTTTAAGTGTGTGGATAAACACTCTGACAAAGCATGACGTATAATATTTGCTTAATTAATTTCAGTTGAATTGTATGCTAAATTTTTATTACCAGGGTCTTCCTATACATATATTTTCTGGGGAGTTTTTATGTGAAATTTTTGTTTTCTATGTGATTTTTATTATAGGAATGATTTGTTTCCTTTTATGGCATTACCGAATTTGTTGGGAAAGTTTCTAAAATTTTGAAAAATTCCAAAAATTTTGAATGTACTCAATACGAGTAAAGCACGTCTTCTTGTCCCAGACGATGTTAAAGATCGTCGCTATTGAATAAATAACACTTCAGCAAAAAACTTGAACGCAATTTCCTGGATTTTCCCGGCCTTTGTTTGAGCGTGTACTTACTTGCAGCATACTAGTATTGAAACATATTTGGTCGAGTATGATTCATTGTCAAACATATAACGAACAGCCTTGGTTGTGGAAAATATTCAGATTAGTCAAATCCTAATATTTTCCTCCCGAGATAAACCTTCCAAAATTTTAGCTGTATAGTGAGTATTATTTTGACTATCCAGGGCACGAAAATCAAAATCGCACTTTGCTCATCAGAATCCATTTTTTCTACTTTGTGTCAAACTTTTGCTATGCATATTTTTCACATATTAAATAATTGATGTTTTTCAAGTCTTTCTTCTGTTATTGTAAATAATATAATTTTTTTTTAGGTCTCAAGCTTTAGATAATAAGGGTGACTTTCGGAATCTTATTGGGGGCTATTGATAATTCGAGCACGGTTCTTTTTAAAAACAATTTTATGGTGAATTTTTTCACTTTCTTCCAGCCATAACGATGTCATCCGATAACTTTGGTCAAGACCACCTGATATGAATCAATGTATGATAAGGGACTAACTGTATTATTCCCATAGAAAGTATCACAGAACAGGGTCTTTGTCTTTATATTACAATTAGAAATGACGCACGGATGAATACAAGACGCACCCGTATGAATGCTAGAACAACGTGCTGGTATGAGTATCCATCGTTCGAAGTTAATAGTTTTGTATGAATTTTTGTTTCTATCTGTTATTTCCCAGCATCACTTGTTTTACCTTCGGTTTCTCGCAACACAATTAATTTTTCATGAAATTTTAAAACTACCAAACTGTACATCTTACGGACATATTTAGTTTCATATAAGGTGTGACTCAATTTAAATAAACTTCAATTTTCCAACCTATCGACCAATCTGCTTGAACTGTTTTTTTTATTACCTGGCTCCATTAAACGAATTAAGCCTTTCATTTTATTACATCCTGTATAATAAAAGAAACTTCTTCCAATTTAAATGCTTTCTTTGTTTAGTGTCGGAATGTTTAATTTTTTTTCCGTATTATTTTCAACTCTATTTTTTAATTTAGTTAGTGATTTATTCGTTTATTTTTCTTGTCGTCAAAAATTTGTGTGTCTCCAAAGAATTTACGGTAAACAGTGAAGAATGCGTTTTTTATAGTTTGGAAAAGTTCCGATTTTTTAGTTAGTTGAGCGAAAAAAATTATAAAAAACCCAACGCATTGTTGTGAGCATGAAACGTAAACGCTGGGGAAAAGTTTAGAGTAATAATCATTGCTCAGTTTACAAATTAGTTTGTTTAAAAGCCTAAATGATAGTTTCACTTCACAGAGAAATAGGTGGTGCCTGTGCTGAGTAAACTAAAATAATCAACCCAAAGGCTTACCCAGGATTAAATCATCAGAGAACTCTTCAAAACTTGTTGTCTTCCACTAATTATTTTGATGTAGACCAGGGTGGTCCAAACCCAGGCCCGCGGGACACATGTGGCCCGCCGCTCCATTATCTGTGGTCAGCGCCGCATTCGGAGAGTAATCAAAACATCGTATTTTAAATTGCTTCTCATAAAATAAATCAGAAAAATTGTTTGACATCTTGTTGTTATATCACTACTGTGACTGAATTGACTAGTATGATGGCTAGCTGAAGCAACTAGCGAAGTGAATATGTGATGGGCAGTCTAAATTGTTACATGGATTTCTATCGCTTTGGTCGGGAATATACGCTAACAATATAGGCATGATAGAAAACTAAACATCGGATGCGAATTCCATTAGACTAGGTTTGCAATGCCTGATCACTATGTGTTCACACAATAGAAGTGCTTGTTTTGTATTGCACTGTTTACCTATTCTTGGTACTATTGTGGCCCGTGACCCAAAATAATTTTGTGGCCCGCGGAGCCCACAACCTTGGACCATCCTGATGTAGACTATTCCAAGACTCGGTCAATTAATATATATACGTTTTATTTTTGAGGCTAAAACATGTGTGTCTGATGACATCTGGGAAAATATTTGTTTTAGTTGTCATACATTTAATCTATAAATATTATTATGGGCAGGTGTTCAGATATTACTCCGTTCGATTCTTAAAAAAGGAGATCGTTTACGATATCATGTTCACGAACAAATGATATATTGTCATAAACACAACTTTATCTTTTATCATCAATAAATTTGCACATGAGCATTCTTCAAGTAGATGTCAATATAAAATGCTTTCACTAACCAACAAAACCTCGGGATTTCCGAATTTCGGCTTGTTCATCCAGATCCCATTTGCCACCCGGTGGAATCGCGGTACAACATATTTATTTGTTGGATTGTCGTCTTATATAATTTGCCTGTTTTTATTTTGTGCCTCAACTTTTTGCCTGTTTTCATCCTCTCGTAACTCAGAAACGTTTTGCTCGATCCACTACATTGGCGTGATTTGTTCGCATTCATTCCGTGTAACAGTATCCATTTGTGCGCAAACTTTAAACGCTTATATTTACAAAAACCTGCTTTTTGTTGGCATATCTTTCACCAATCTGCTTCCCCAACAAAGCTTTTGTTTCAAATACTTCCCGCCAAACTATCTATTTACTTATTCATGCTAACGTTATGACTCGCTACCATATTTTGAGAAAAATTACTGATGACAAAACCAAAATGGGCTGGAATTGAAAGCATGCAACTACGAGTTAATTGATCAGGAACATGGAATATTAAATAATAGCGAGTAAAAAGTGAACTAATAATAATTATTCTATATATATATGGTCATAAATATAATCGAGTCGAATACTCTTATACAAATATAACGTATCATTCGTCATCTAATGTCGTTAGAGGTCTAGTAAGCTCATTATAAGCTCGCAATGAACCACGAGAGGGACCAAGATACACTCGACACGCTTGATCAAGCAGGTAACGGTTGAGTGGGTGTGCTCGGTTACGTGCCACGTTCAAATCCATTCGGTAAAAATCCTTTGAGGTACGGGCGAAGTCAATATCATTTTTCTGTTGCGCTCTGGTCCCGTACATTTGCTGCATCTGCTGTCTTCAAAACAAAACAAAATTACCCTTATAAATAAGTACACAATGGAGTTAGTAAAAATCAAGGATGTAAAGATTTGTTACCTCAGTTCTTTGACATGTGTAAAATTAATAGTTCCTTTGTGCATAGCAATCTCAGGGCGGCGGTAATTCACTTTTGCAAAAGGCGTTAGATGGGTACTACCTTCCTTCTGAGACCACGGAATCGGCTTACTTCTGAGAGGTAAAGAACTTCTGAATAAAAATCTACATAACTTTTTTTGGGGTTACATGGGACGAGGTACCTAAGCTAAGTCTTTGCGATCTAGGATATTTATGCTTATAATGCAAAGATGTTGTATCAAGAATGAGATGAAACGTTACCGAAATACGTTTACTTTAACGTGGAGCAGGATTCTTGATTCACATTGATTAATTTTATGTGCATGCCTTCTTTTTTTTATCATATTTGAAACGCTTTTAACGTGTTAGTGAAATGTATATTTACTTTGGATCCAATATATCTTCTCCAGTAGATGGCAGCTTCATTCTCTCCTCTCTCCGTTGACTAAGCAATTGTCTACGTGTTAGATTTATGTCGGGCAATGTTACCTGTGGGTGAAACAAATTATTTTCACTTTTAAGTACTGTATAAGATGAAGGAGTGAAAATAGGGGAAAACAAGAAACAAATAATAATCAAATATCTGAGATGGTGAAGGAGATGTTAAAAATATGATAAGGATAGAGTATGAAAAATATCTATGATCAGAATACTCGAAAAGTGAAGCCAAATTTATATTAAATGGAAAAAAATATAGAATAATTGCATTGAAGAGAAAAGTTGCAAAATATGTTTATTTTATATATATATATATATACCTTCGTTTGGTCAATCATCACATCGATTTCTGGATCAACAATATTTTGTACAGTTATTCGACTCTGGCCACCAACAAATGTATCATTAGGAAGTCTGTTGACGAATTCAGGGTCATATGTTCTTGCATACGGTCTTAACCCATTCCAAATATTTGGAGTGTGTGGTGGACTAGGTAAATAATTAAAAAAATCAAAATATTGCATTATATAGTGTTGCATTTGTCAGGAATAAACTTTCAACCCTACATTGGTTTTTCTGTCATCTGCACTATGTATGATGTTAGACGTAGCTCTGCTCTTGCTCTCGCTAATTCCATCTGATTATGGTCAACAAAAGTTCGATTCCCTTCTTTTCGTGCTTAATATATCAAAAAACAACAGTAAATAAAAGATAAGCACAATATATATAACAGTAATGAATTTAACCTCTAATGTTAACTGCGGTAGCAGGCAATCGTCCTCCATGACTTGTCACAGACGCTACTTCAGGCTCTTCTACAAATGATACTTTCTGTATAAAATTTAGTTTTTCAAATTAATACAATATTTATTTCTATTTTAAGTTTTGATTCAATAACTAACATATTAAGAAAATTACCTTTTCTTTCACTGACATTCCGTTTGACATGTTCAACTAACCACACTCAATCCTTCAACCCGTTTATAGAACCATATAATACAGATTTCATATTTACACCACCGCAGGGTGACTTCTCGTTTCATTCAGAATTACAAAAAAAATATGAATGTTTTAAATTGACCTCCTATAACCTGTAAACTTCAAAACTATTTATGTGTATTTATTACAAATGTTTAAATGTTCGCATCAAGAGATTAAATATTTCCATCCATTGGACATGTGACGCTGGTACATAAACTGTGTCTGCCAAGTACGTATCATCTTTGGCGAATGTCTCTGTTTATCGCGAATTGTTTCAACACAAAACATGTTTATTTTATTTTCTACGCGTCACACCAAAGGACGTATATGTTTACTGTCAATATACATTGTCGTGTAATTTAAAAAGTTTGCTTACTTTGAGTATCTGATGTCAATTCAGAATTGATAGACCTTTAGCAATGAGATCTTATTTTAAAACATGTCGAATTTCATATGATTGGTTTTTGCTGATGTAATTGTCAATGTTACTTTGCACATATATTGTGCATTTATCTTTGTTGCCTCTGATTGAATTCAATTGGAGATCTCTGAATTTACACTTTCAAACAAAATATCTGTTTATGAACGTTGTGTTTTTTTTTTGCAATTGAAAATAAAATTCCACAATTGGTAATAGACTATATTATGGTTTTCCTGATTATGAGGAAAATTTTTTACTGTGCTCTATTACATAAAAATTCACAATAATAATACATTTGAAATGTTGTTAAATACTCCACATCTTCGTTCCTATCAAGTCCAAACAGTTTTTCCAGGCATCAATCATCTGATTGGTTATAACTTTAGGAGAAATTTACTAAAGCTCAAATCCGAGTATTCTATCCAACCTGCCTATATTGAGCTACATTAAAAATTATGATTCATCGTGTAATTTTTTAGCAAATAATTTGTTATGAATATACAAGATTCAATTTGATTTATTGAGTTGAGAATATTTTAATTGAAAATAGGCATCTAACTCGTCCTTTTTTGCAAAAACGAAGCGTTCAAAATTGTAAATTCAAGGTTAAGTATTGGGATTAAAATACCAACATCGTTAGGTGGCGTGAATGTGCAACCACATGATGTAACTGGCATTGCACGTTTATGCAGAAATCGACAGAAATTTTCCTAATAAAAATTCTGCAGCGGTTGTGCTTGCCTTTATATCTCCTATGCTAACAATGATTCTCCCATTAACAAAAATGGCGTCAGCAACACACGTCGCTAATAATATGACGAAATTCATTCCTCGTTTCATGCTACCTTTTCCGTCTGTATAAAGTTACAGTTTGTTGAATACAGGGAGATTATTTGAACCTCGTGTGAAATGAAATTATCACGAAGATACGATTCCTTCTCGAATATATTTTTTTAATTTGATTTAGAACATGCGCAGTCTGTTTTGTAAAACCTGAGAAATGTTTTTGGTTTTTCAACGAATTTCATTGATAATTCCCGCAGGCAATCAGATGTTCGTGAAATGCTATTTTCAATACCCAAGTTTCATATTGATTTCTGCAAATTATTCCAGCGATTGTCGCTTAATTTTTCATTGAAGTGTGTATAATTATCCATATATCATTATATCATATACCAATTATCCATATCCATTCATATAAGATTTTTGATAACGTTATTTTAAGTTTGCAAGCAAAATATATATCAGTAAAAACATAAGTAAAACATTAAAAAATTTGAAAGTAGTCATTTCAGTTCAATGATATGATATCTAGAAGATTTCTTCAAGGCTAATCATTGTAACCAAAGTTAGGGGATAAAAATATACTACCTTTGCATTAGCTAATTTTTTCTGGTTTTTTTAAACTCAAATCTATCGTTTCCACTTCGCTGCAAAAGTATAGTTTAAACTTCGACCGCAAAGTTTTCATGTTATTTCCGCCGTTTTAGTTTGATAGTTAAAGCTAGAAGCTCCCTAAGCAGGAACTGAATATAAATAGCAGAAATGCATTATTTTGTTTTACTTCATCTTCATATTTTTTTTGAGTGGAATATTTTTCTTGTTGACTATTAAAAACTTAGGTAGTTGATTCATATTATCTCAAAAGACACATTTCTATTAGCATAAAGTCGTGGAATAACTTCCATTGTCCTATTATGGATTTTTGGCTTGCTTTAAGTAAAACGTTTTTCATTGGCCTCGCTTTTAGCAACCATCTGTCTACCAACTGATTTCGATATCGACAAAACTTCTAGTTTTGACCACGCAAAACAGATTATTATATTTAGCCTTATAGTAATTAAGCAATTTATCTTTGCTTTTGCACAAAAAAGCATGGCTATGAATGGCTATCACTTTCACAAATAAGAGAAAGACACTTCAATGAGAAAATTTTCAAATAAATTCACCTTTTTGGTTTTAACAAACAACAATTAATACGAGAATATCGTTCAGAGACCGAAGACTTATCGATCGAAAGTCAGGGGATTCTCCAAAACAGCGTCATTACTCCATAGTGACATCCTGTGTCCTATCACTAATTAATTATTAAACTTGCTAATTATACGACATAATTCATCCAGAAGCAATAGGCTTCTGGTGCGAGCTATGATGAATGCACATGCAAAGTTTGGAGCAGATTCAACCTCGCTTTCGTGAGATATCGCGTGCATCTAACAGACAGACAAATACCTATCAACATACTTACCGATCTTAAGATCGATAAGTAATAATGCTGACTATTAAATGAGTTACACAAGATTTTGGGGATTATTCGGCACTTTTGATTAAATAATCGTCGAGCAATATCGAGATATTATCGTTTGTAAATGGTAATGGCCCAGTAGTAAAACACGTATAAAGGACAATATTTAAGTAAGACACTGACGCGACTTAATTTCCGATCGCAGAAAATCAGATTTTCTCTTCACACTGCAAACTAAAATTTGCATAAAATCAGTTTTACCAATCGGACCGAGTCGGATATTTAGAACGCATAGTTTCCTGTGGAGAAAATATCTTCAAGACAATATTATCTAGACAATAATTGCTATGTGAAAATTGAAAAATTAGCTCTTATGCGGTAAAATAAAAAATATTCTTTCTCAAATAATTATATACTTGACTTTCGCTGAAGTTTATATCGATTTATTTAGTCTTTTTTTAAAATTGTAGCGACATAAATGGGTAAAAGATTTGACTCATCATGTAAAAACGTACGCCTGCTTGTAATATAATGAATTTAACTTGCAAATTTTCGTAATGTCAACATGGACGGGCGCTTTAAAATGATAAAAACGAGTCCCAAATTTATCTGATGGTAGAGTTAAGATGTCCTAAACGTCTATGGGATTTGACGCATCGTGGCTTGGTGTTTTACGTTAATGAACACATCTAGCTTGCTATGTACGAATGATATTGCAAACAATAAAAAGTCAAAAGTTTTAATAAACCAAATGTTCAAAGGTAAGATGACTCAAGGAGGTAGATTATCTGTCACTCACATATCATTTTAAATCTTTCGATCGTTTCATTTATAAATGCTAAAATCCTGTCTCTTGTGCAAGAGTAACTGTTTATGCGCGAAGCGTGGTATGTATTTGCAATTTAGTTATACATTCATATAGTCGGGTAGTACGGTGTTAAACTCTTCCCTCTCACGATTTGTAATAACGTGATCTACATACAGTTGTTAAGTTTACAAATCTTTGATTAAATCTAGACTTATTATCAAATTTTCGCCCACAATTGTTCACACGTGACACAAATCAGTACTTAGATGCAATATACCAAACAAAACCAAATATTCGCGGGCCGATTTCGTGTCTGAAATTTGTACAAAAATAGAATTTCGTTTTGCCGTTACGTTGAAATCTCACACCGTGTCACTCGCGCCTGAGATATACTGTCACAAAAATAACTGATACTTTAATTACATAATTCAGCTTAAATACAGTCATATAGTTTGAAGATTTTCAACGAGGTTTCCCGCAAGAATTTGCTGGCCAGCGATATTTAGGCTCGTATATCAGAACTACCAAATACCGGAAAATTAATTTATTCATGATAGGGTTGTGCAAAAAAAAAATAATATTAATATTATTTGGGGAATGTAATAACGCTATCTTCGAACAAGGCGCGGCACAAGTAATTATGTCGATGTACATAGAATTATGAAGTCAAAAAGATCGGATCCAGTCGATTTAGTTTTATCTATCCAACGTCTCCCAATACCATGAACAATGAACGAGCGAGGACTCAAACCTCAGAATATGATTCCAAATTACCTTGGAAAAAAAATGAAGGAATAAAATTGGACAACGAGAACAACCAATACTATTAATATTATTCTAAACCTATCCAATCCACCAATCTTTGTTAAATATTTATGTTTTGCAAATGATAATGTATCAATGACACAATTTAAACATGAAGTGTATTGTAATAATGTGAGCAAGTTAGGATTTATTTGGACACAAAATATTTTCAGTTGTAACGAACGTAAATATACTATGATTCAAATTCAAGTTCTAACGTGGACGCTTGTCGTTCACAAGTGTTATATTTTAAGGTATTAATTTCATTAATAGTTAAATATTATTTAAATATGACGAAATCTTACTATTTCAACGAGTTCAATAATAATTTTGCATATATTACAAATTAAACGAAAAACAAAACGGTTTTCCAGAATTTTAGGTAAATTCATCCGGTTTTCTGATAAGAAACTATTTATGGACTCAATCTAGGCAACGTTTTCAAATTGTGGTTCTGGTTAGGATATGTTTTACTTGGCCGAAGTATTGGCCTTCGATGGACCAGCCTCGGGGGTTATTTTCGTTCTTTGGCCTACGGTGTTCATGTTAAAATATATTTCGAATGGCGGCTGAAATTAAATCTACTTTGTGCGAATTTATTGCTTGAAATTTATGTGCAATGCTCAAATGTTTATTGGTTGGGTATTTATTAAAATTTGATTATTGGTTTCTTCAATAAAATTTGTCTAAGATATTCATTGAAACTCATGATTTGATCATACATTAGGAATATGGCAAACATGCTAAAAGGGAAAATGCTCCTATTCATTCTGAACATTTTTTTCGTTTTGTGTCGTTTTTATCTTCAAGTCTTTGTATCGATATGGTATACGGTAAAACTGGAAAAATTGAATTATTGCATTATCATTCGTTATATCGAATAGAATTTAGATCATAACAGAGACTGGTAAACTGCCTGGATACATCTGAATTAACATATTATCGAAATTCCGAGCCAAATAGTAGATATATCAATATTGTTGCTGTGGGTTTTTTCGTTGGCGGATTTCCTCGACTTCCATCGTAACCAGGTATTAGCAAGCGCAAAACAATATTTTTGTTCCGGTTGGATGAACTCAAAATCACGTGTGTATAGATTTATATTTTTGACGTTGTAAAGTAAATTACAGTATTTTGTAAATTCATGGATAATATTTTGTTGCCAGGACATCATGAGTCAGTTTTGTTCGGTTGGACAGACAAAGAGTGACAGCATCGTATACCCAATATATGCGACTATTGTTATCCTGAGATCAATACTGATGTGTCTTTGCTTCAGTTTCAAAAGGTTTCGAAAGGCATTGTACATTTGATATCGCTATTCTCAAAGAAATATCTAATACTTTCGTAATACTGTGATGTAAAATTTGAAAATTACAAAATTTTGTTTGCAATTTATCACTCATTGTCTGATTTTCAAAAAACATTATTGGAAAACCCGAACATTCTTTTGTGGGCTCTAGGTGTTTTCCTGGACCGTTGGCGTCGAAAATATTTTCTTCGAATAACAAAAGCGTCAAGTATCTCGTTCTGAACTAGTTAACCATCTAGTCTCCTAACAACGATGCCGGTTTTTCGTATTCTGAGATTAACAGAAAATTAAAAAAATATTATAAAAGTGCGAGTGTAATACTTCAAAAATATGATCCTCGGACGTAATACAGACGAGATAACCGACGGCCGGCCAATTATTTAAGTCTTTTTATCAGTAAACGATGCGTTGTATAATTCGCTTCAGTTCGCTTATGGCCGCGAACGACATACCGAAAAACAAACGTTTTACACTGGAACAAACGTGGTAAAAATCACCGGTATATACGGTACTTGCTCCTGTTGATCGCTGATTCGACTGTAGGATTGACAAAAACAGAAAGTCGTCAATTATGGAGAGTACCATTACATGCAGGGTATCTGCGACACATGATCGACGATGATTTTTTTTAATTATAAAAATGAAAGTTTATTTACGATTCGTGAAAGTAAATCCGGAAAATCAACTGAAACCTTTTGTTTTCATATAATTCGTGACAAATTTCACTTCATTCGCCCAAAGGCGATTCACGATATTATAGGCCGCGGTCATTTATTATCATGCTATGGCTTTATTGACAAGGCGAAATAGGATTTAGATTAAGACCAAATAAATGAAATATAGTATATACATTTGTGCTTTTACAGTGACTGTGCTATTCAGATATCAGTGATTGTAGATATATGATTCAGTAAAAAAAATGAGCAAATTTTGGCCGCCTAAAATTTATTTTGGTCGGTACGTTTATCTAATTTGACTTGTTTGCAAGCTGTTTATCTGCAACATGCCCGCAATTAAGTAAAATCTTCGTTCAGCGGAAAATTCCGTTACAGTTTTTGAATACGGCGTTAGACTAAATACCACGTAATTTGGCCAAGAAAATATGCCACAGTGCGTTCATGGTTCACGCATCAATTACCCGTGTGGGTTGTAGATTGTCTTGCGTTTAGGTACTTTTGAAAAACAAGACGAACAAAACAAATTTATCTTTTGTTTGAGAGGCACGTTTCAGAACTTCAATTGGAAGTAAAAACTACAATTGTTAGATATCGATTACATTTAAAACCATTCTTCGTGCTTCTATCACAATTCTACAAAAATATGGAAATTAGAACTCTAAAATTACGTTCCATTCTTGATTTAGTCATTTTGATATCACATAGCGACACGCACTCATTGCTGATGAATTTTCTAGAGTGAATCGATCATATATGTACACTTTTGTTGAACTGCGTTTATCTGTTGCTCAAATATATTAACAAAAGATTAGTAATTGCGGGTATGGTCTATTTAGGTTGTCAGATGTGCGCGGTATACTAAGAAATTGAAGTAATATTACACGAATATTGTCAACGCTGTTGCTGTGTACAAAGTTGCTGCAATAAACAGCAAGCGAGCGAAATATAAGTAGTAATACTTCGCTGCGTTTCCGGTGTTTAAAATCGGGCCCAATCGGGGATTTCAGATTCAATCGACGACAAGACAGCGTAACACGATATTTAGGGTTTTCTTTTTGTGCGCTATTGTATGTTGAAGAAATACGTCATTCACGGGCCTTGTTGAGCACTCGCTCGCTAATAAATAAATAGAATATATAAGAAGAAAAGTAGAAGTAGGCTGGAAAGTATTTCGTAAACAAATTCGTCATATAATACTTGAGGCGTGATTTACTGAGCGAGTTATTATGAGTTCACGACGGGACCCGACAGATAGCGGGGATTTAAAAGTATGTTTAGCGATTAGGTATATTTTAATACTGAAAAAATATTTTCTCTGGCTAAATTTGGTTATTATTCACTACCTAAAAAATAAGCTTCATGTGGATGTGTTTGACAAGTTGGCAAATATTTTGAAGTGATTATGGATGGGATCAATTATTTAGAATTCGAATTTGTGGACAAGGCTAAATATAGTACTGAATGAACAGGTAGTACAAAAAGTCTGAAAGCAAACATTCGACTGTTTTCGACTTTTTTCCGAAAAGACAATTCAGGTTATACATCAACCCATCGCTTTTGATTTAGAATTAGTCATTTCAAACGAGGCTGTTATTGCAGATCCCGTAACAAAGAGATACATTGGTCACCGCGAACTGAATAGAACTATTGAATGTGTCATGTATGTACCGTTGGCCAAGTATGGTTACGATTAATTTTACGTCTATTTAGACGCGGGTTATACATTATATTCGCTTAAGGAAATCTCAAAATTTTGAACATCCCTGCAGCAAGAATGTTACGAGATTTCAATAAGCAAACTCTTGAGTAATATGTCCGCTTTGGATTCGTCATGGATATTGAAATTTGAACCCAAAATTTGTTTCAATGGGTCAGGCTGCACTTTTTTGTTATTTTTATTTGTTTTAATTGTTCCCCTAACTTGTATGACACGATCCCATTGAATTTAAACGCAAATCATTTTTTTCAAAATGGCGCGAAAATGTTTATATGTGAGAAGGACGATGCTTGTAAATTATTCGCCGTTCGACACTGAATAACTGAAGATGAAAATAGAGAGGGAACGAAGATTAGAAAACAATTAAAGGCAAAGTAGAAACGGAATGGAAAAACAATATTTTCTTACAAATAACATCAACGCGTGACAAATACGTCCCATATCTGAATAAAAAAACAAACATTCAATAATAGAAGGTGATCTATAACAAAGCCTGTTTTATTGGAAAATCGTCAGTTACCAATTTCTTAAAAGTTTATCGTCTTTTGTACCTCAAAATTTATTTTATTTTGTTAAAATCGCTGGATAGGACCTAGTGATCGCCTGCGGCAGGCTATATTCGAATTAGGCTAACGTCAGATATTTCATCTCTATTTTCGTCACAACTTATCGTATCGCAGTGATATACCATGACGAGGTAGCTGGTTGCCTGTGTCAAATTGAAATATCTGTAGCTGTAGGCAAGACATGCGTTTGGGTATGTAAAGTGATTCATATGTTGTCGAATTTCGCCTAATAATTTCTAAGTATATGTATGAGAATAATGTTAAGCCATGCACGGTGATATATACTGAGGATAATACGTCATGTGCGATTTACACCGGACCATACCTCACATAATATAGTTCCACAAAATAAAATGTGAAGTATGAGAACGAAAGTGTGTAAAGCTGACTTGATCATTTTTACATTCTGCCTGTAGTATTGTTGTAAAAATGAATTTTACTTGTACACAGCGGTAAACGAGATTATTAACAAGCACTTTTCTAGTATATCCAGAACTCTTCAATAGCTTACTTTACGTTTTTGATGAGCTTTGTCATATTCAACTCTACGCGGAATAAGTTAGCTTTTGAGAGATGAAGACTTACCTTGGAATTATTACCGTTGTGCTTGCAATTGTGATGTCCACTGAAGCATGCGTTGGTTCTCAAAGAAGTAAGTTTTGAAATATCCTATTGGTATATATATATATAAATATAAAGTGCTTTTATATTTGGATTGTGCACAATACAGTACATAGTCAGAGTGTGAGCGAGATAAAAATGAAAAATTATACTCAACACTCAAATTTAGGGTGGTGCTAGGATCAGTCTGTTTCTTTTTTTGGTTTCTATGTGTCTCGCTTTGATAGCAATTGTAAGTCACAGTACCCTTTCATTTAATATATAATAATGCTGAAGGGCGTAAAAACGAAATCTGTGAACCAGAAACAAATGAGGTATAATAAATAGTGACATTATTCAATTATTGGTTACGTTTACGAAATTTAACACAAAACTTGATGAATTTCAAAATAAACGAAGTTACATGATGTATACGAAGTTTCTAGCGATGTGTAACTATACCGGTAATCGGATGTCCACAAATGCGACATAAGCACGCGACAAACTTATTCAAATATGAGTATTGACGCATATCAACGATTACGTCAAGTTACCACTGTAGGGTTATAATTCGGTCAAAGCACGCCACAAGTCAGCAATGTAGTAAATGTATTTGACATTGTTTGGACCATACGATTTCATCGAAGATAGTTCTTTTTTTGCGAAAGATTCTTTTGGCCTTACTTTTAAACAGTTGTTTGCCATTTACAGATCCTTCTCTTTCTGAAATCGAGATTTCAAACCTGGAAGCTGATTACAAATTTCATTTTGAAAACAAATCAGAACTTTCAGAATATAAGTTGACATTGGTTATGTCATGGAATATAAGTGAAGGTAAGTAACATATTTCAACTCGGTTTGTTTTACCCTATATTTAATCATTTCAAATAATCGAAGGATCTTATATAGATAATTCTATATTCAGGGGTAGATTACGATGGGATACTGGTAAGGCTCACCGACAGCGAATCTCAACCTCAATTGAGAAAACGAAGATTTATTCCACCGCCTCCACCTCCTGGTATGTAGAAATTTTTATTAACCTATGAGAAAGTAAATCAGTTTAATAACCCCACAAAAGCACGCATAATAACAATGCATACAAACGGGTAACTGTTGGCGACATTTTAATTTCTGATTTGAAGTAGTTTCCAAGAAAACTAGAACTAGAAACTACAAAAACCAGGAAAATTGCGTTCACGGTAAACTGATGCAACAATGGCTCTTGCAATCATTTCTTCTGGTTGCTCGTTGATCAAGCGCACCTTGTGATGTGTGAAACGATTTAAATTCTTAATCAAATTGAATGGGATCATATAAAGTAAATTTTATATTCAATGTGTGATATAATGTCATAGTTTCAATTATTAAACATCCTAAAATTTTAATATTAATTTTTTTTTTTCAGTTATCAACACAACACCGTGAGTACAAAGATACAGTCATATGCACTATTTGTTTTTAAGCTAATGTGATTATCCTAGCGTTGCATTGAGTACAACAATTTTTTCAAATTTTTGTTGATTTGTTTTCTTGTCATAACATACAGTATATTGACATGATACTGTGTATAAATTCGCTGATGCAGTGTTTATTTTGATGTGCACCACGAAACCGTTTTTTGTTTTTGCTCCACGCATGCTTATATATATGGTTGAAATAAGAATGGCGATAATTAGGTATTACCAACACAATACCTAGGTGTTTTAACACGCCCTTATTCATCATTATATCGGTAAATAACTATTTAAACAATGGTGATCACCCATTTAGATCATCGTGCAACAACAAAACACTATGGACCGTTGATAGTAACGGTACATCGATAGAATGTCAAGTTCCATGCAAGGGTATATTGAGTGAGCCTTGCCTCTATTCTCAAGTTTGTGCGCAGCTTGCAAATAACTTCACTTCTTTGCCAAAGGTATGGTTGGTATTTTATTTTGAATTTTGCAAAGAAACTTACTGTGAAGTTAATGTTTGAAATTTGCCCCAATGTATGGTCTACATAGCATGGAATAGCAGTTTTCTACATCAGCACTTGTTGCAGTTTTCATATATCTTGGCCGAACGATGAATTTAGAAATCGTGATATATGACAAATTTTAAAGCTGTATATATATATATAGATATGAACTTTTAATCAAATTTACAGCCGCCTGTGTTTGAGATAGCAATGTTTATCGCTTTGTAGATTTGAAAATATTGAATTTTAATAATTTTTGATCGTCTATGTATCCATTCCATTATCTGCTCAGAGTATTTTAATATTGAGCAGGCAATTTCAAACGAAGAAGATTTAATAAATAGAGATAGTTCCTTAAGTATGAGTAATTGCTTGCTTAGGTTCATGTTTCAAGCAATGTGTTGGGAATACTACATGCGAATATAATGGTTGCTTATAATCACCTCATAATGTCAGTCAACTTTTCTTATCTTTTTATAGAATCAGAGAAAATTAGAAATGCCTATTGAGTTCGGAAGAGTTTACAGATTCAAAATGATGGTTTATAAAGAATGGAGTATAGGACATGAAGTGGAGTTCAAACTTACAGAGATAGTGTCGTTTTGTCGACATGAGCTAATTACAAACCACAAAGTTGATGAAACACTGGCACATCAATTCTGTACTGATGAACAGGAGATAGCAAGTTAGTAATATATTTTGAGGTTTTTGTGGCATATCATAGTATAAAAAATTATACCCCAGTGTTAATATACATTTTGTTTTGTCAGTATTAGGTTTGCTTTTGTATATATTTATAGTTTGTCGGATATTAAAAACAATTAAACTATTGTACAGGGGTTCCTTGAGTCTCTGGAATAGTACATTGGGGTTCACCAAAATGCTTGAAAACCTTCTTATAATGCCAACTGCAGATAGCAGTATTGAATTAGTGTACTTCTTGTACTACCGTCGGGCAAAGCTGGTAGTTTTCTACAATCTGATTTATTGAGTGGTTATATATAATTTGCTACAGCATACTTGAACGGGAATCATGTTTCAGGTTTATTTTTGATTAATATAAATCCTAACACATTATCACTTAATTTTAGAAAACACTTACTTCAGTGGGCCACCGGCAAACTTGGAAATTTTCAAAGAGTATAGAGATATGAGTATCAACAGAGGAGTGGTTGAACTCCGGTGGAGCGACCCTCATGACTTGCTTCCTAACGTTACTGTGCTAAGTTATGCTGTATTCGCAAGCAAAGGAGAACCCAACAGGGGAACAGTGGTAAACAAGATACATTTTCACTTTTTTAAAAAGCTTTTGCATCTCGGTTTTTTGATATTTTTGACTCCTTATTAGGATAAAGTCATTATTGCAATTGTCTTTGCTGCCTATTTGTTATGAAATACCAACGAACCAATACAACCATATGACGTTCATGCAATGTATACTTACAATATGTTAAAAAATAATAAATAGGACCAATATATCCAATATTCATTATTAACTTATTTTAGTTTGCAAGTGAAAAATCAGCAGATGGAAATTACACAGTATTGAAAATAACTAATATAAAATTCGGGGAAGAAGTTGAAGTCAGAATCACTCCATATACCGACAACTGTGACGGATGCACAAATTATGGATTTCCCGGCGTTGAATTGTTCAAATTTTCAGGTATTATGTTCTTTCTACTTATTTAGTAAATTCTTTGTTTCATAAAAAACCTACTGTGAGTTATTCGGGAATTACATCTTGTCGAGTACGTCTATGATATCTATATATTTCATTTCGTTTTCTTCAGATATTGATGCTTGCAAAGGAGACAATATTACAGAACCGTATTGTCATTCAGCAGCAATCTGTCACGATTTTCCGAGCAGTAATGAGAGTTCTGCTTCATGTACATGCGGTGTGGGTTATGAAGGAAATGGAATCGCGTACGCAGGAGGAGAAGGTTGCGTCGATTATGACGCATGCGCTGCAAGAAATGTCAGCAACCATACCTGTCATCCTTACGCTTTTTGTAAAGACTTACAAGCTCCGAGCATGGGAGCAAATTGTTCATGCCCGTAAGTTGAGTACGCCATATATTTTATACGAACGTTTAGACAAAATTTGATTAATGAATGTTATGAACCATGTACAGGGCTGATTTCGTAGGAGACGGGTACAGATCCGGATCAGGATGCACAAAACTATCGTTAATAATTGCTTTAGGTGTTGGACTTCCTGCTGTAGCCTTGATCGTTGTGGCTGTGCTGGCAGTTTTATGGAAAATGAGACTTTATAAAAAGAGGTGGGTAGCTATTTTGAATCAAATGAATTCTTTTTAATAAAATGGTTGCAAATAACAACTGTTAAAAATCCGCTGTCAATTATTCTGAATTTAGTAACAACAATTCAATAAATGAATATATTATTGAATATTTGGTATTTTAAGCGGAATGTTGACCGTTGGTTTTATCATTTAACATAATTTTAATCGACCGGCCAAGCTTTTGAAGTGATAAAAGCGTCTCACACAGTGCTTCATATATAAATTGACTGGCAATGGCTTCATTCTTTGTTTATCCGACTCCGTTATCGTGGATTGCAAAAACCTGTATCCATGTTCTCATATAGTTCCCATCAGGGAAAGCGTATGTATGTCTTCAACTCAAACTAAAACTAATATTATTTTTAGACAAATCGAGAAAAAGATGTCCCATTTCTTCTCGACTCCCGATGTGAATTACACTTCATCAATATCCAAAAGTATATTTATGAATAAAAATACCATGGAGACACAAGACAACGGAGTTTTCGGCAAAAAATGGGAGCTCGATCGAAATTCAATCGAACTGAAAGGCAAGATATATATAATTTTAGTAACATTGATTAACTTATATAGGCGTCGTATTTATTAGAGAAGCTTTGCATTTTATCTCCCCACCCTGATATAATAAACCTTCTATAAATCTCAGCAGGCTGCTGTTATGAAGTAACTTCTTACCCAATGCAAGCAGACTTGTTATTTTAACCAATAATTCAACCAAAATATCGTTTGTATATATGTTTTAAAATGGCGGGTTGATCATAATTTTGAAAAATTTCATAACTCACAGGCGTCATCGGTCGTGGAAATTTTGGGGTTGTTTACAGAGGATTGTACACAGCAGAAGGAGAGGAAAAGTCAGCCGCAGTAAAAATGACCCCAGGTAAATGACCTACAACATATTATTGAGTATGTATTGTTAACGCCGTTGTACTCTAATAACCCGTTACTCTCTATGTTTTAGAAAATCCGTCGGAATCAATCAGACAATCTTTTCTGGCTGAAATATCTTTGATAACGTCAATCGGTTTACATGAAAACTTAATCGGAATGATTGGATGTTGTACAGCTGGTGATCAACAAAAACCAATATATTTGGTCTCGCAATTCATGAAATATGGAGATTTATTGCATTTCTTGTGGGATGCAAGAGAGGTTTGTGAACTATTTTTGAATTTAAACTACGTCAAAATTAGTTATCTATAAATTATCAAGCTTATCAAACTATGTAACAGATTTTTCATGCCCAATTCTTGCACACTGTTACTAAACCTCAATTTTATCATGTAATTTTAGCTGTTGTGATTGAATATATAATAAATAATGAATAAACCAAATAAACTGATGACTAATTCATCGGATTCATCGGACTAATCAAGTCACAATAAAAGCTCAGATTTGTGCATGATAAATTAAGACTATCGCTATAAAAACAATACTGCCTTAGGCAATAATTTTCCGATAATTGAGGCTTGCTATGAAAACAACATCGATTTATTTATGTTAAAGTATTTTTGGTCAATTGTTATTGTTTAATAAGAAAAACTTTATAAAATATAATAAAGTAAAATTATACAAATAGATAAAAAAAAAACTCTTATAGTTATGTTCAGTCCCATTAAGCCCAAGCCAATTTTGCCAATTTACAATTCTAAATTTGTTTCTTATGAAAAAACATTAAAATATATTTTATACCAAATAATAATTTTGAAATTTGCCATTTTGTAAAAAATTGTATTGTCTCAGTATTCAAAATTTACGACCCTGCGAAAATTATTTGAAATTGTTGAGAACTATTTTTTATTGATCTATGAAATTAGTTCTGCAAATAATTAAAATTAATTAATGAAATAGCAAATCCATTTTCTAAAAATTGCTAAATATTAAGTGTTCAGTTTTTTAAATATGGTTTATTTAGTTCCAATTGTTTTGCATATTCTTCTTCTGTGGTCTATATTATGCGTATGAAAAATGTTAGATTAATGAACTAAATCCTGCAAAAAAAAATTTAACAGAAATTCTAATTGGCAATTTATACATATGTATATGGTTATTTGCTTCTATTTTCTGTTTACAACGTAATGGAAGTAAAATTTATCAAAACATTGAAACTAATTACAATAAAAAACATATCGAAAGCGTCTCCTTCTAATCTTTTAAAATCTGACCTTCATGGCGTCAATGGTGGCGTCAAAAGGTGATAAATATATGTTGTTAGTGGTTCAGAAAGTCGAAAATCGCACCGCGTGAAATTCTATCAATTTTTAATTTTTATTTCGCATAGTCACGCTGACAAGTTTTTGCAGTCTTTTACTTTTGGACCGTTGCTTTCGTTTTAAACCACAGAATAATATTTGAAATCTATTTTTACACGGATTTTCCAATTACATATATTATAAATAATATAAATTTGAATCCGTTATGCATATCCATCCATTTGACCAGGGGGGTGCAACCTGCAGCCAAGGACAAGGAAAAATAGTGCGCCCGAGGAGGAGTGCCAATTTTGAATGGTGTGAGACCCGCGAAACGAGTTTTTAATTTTGTTTGATCTGATATGTGCGAGTAATTCCAATCCCATTGTGTTGCAAAACCTATATCTGAGTCCAATTTTTTTTTATCTATGCCTATGACGTTACACAGCTAGCTTGTGCGAAGCGAACAACGCGTGTCAAAGATCAATAATCGAGATTTTTGTGCTTGCAACTACTAGAAAGCCTATGTTGAATAAAGTTGCGTCTCGCGATTTCACCCAGTTGTTTGTATTTCACTCGCTTGTATTAGAGGTTGCACAGCCCTGCATCAGACATTCAAAAAATCTTGAATATTTAGGCAAATGTTGCTTTTTTAGTGGTCAATACCTACTGCTGTCTAAAATTATCATGTAAAAAAGCATTCCGTGCCAGTCTACTTTAACCAACGCCTATTTTTTGTCTGTTCCCACATAGTGATCCTTTTATATGTCTGATCTTCTATCTGAATGTGCTAATATCTAACTTAATGGATAGAAGATTATAAAATTTACATGTGACTGAGAATTAGAATCATATTTATATATTACAGGAAAGTAATCGTCTCAAGGATCCTATCTACAATTTGACGGAGTTGGGAATCTATCATATTGCTGCCCAGGTTGCAAATGGAATGCAATATTTGAGTGAAAATAAATTTATTCACGGGGACATAGCAGCAAGGAATATTTTAGTCGACGAAGTGAGACCTTATAATATTTGTGCAATAATTGATAAAACTAACTTAAATTTGTAAGGTGAACATGATTGTATTTATTCTAATTCTAAGATTTTGCATAACGAGTAGTATCCATTTTTGTCGTGTTAGAAGCTCTATCTATGAATATTTGCCCTGGGGCTGATATAGAGTGTCAAAATGCTTTCAATGCGATATAATTATGGCAAAAAAGACATAAATACTGTGTAGTGTAGTGTAATTTGTTCGTGATCATTTCCCAAAATATTGTGCGATAAAGTTCCGTGATTCTGTATGAGATTAGACAGTGGTATACTGAACTAAAATTAGTAAATTGCTTTCTTGATTTCAGGGTCTCAAATGCAAAATTTCTGATTTTGGATTAGCGAACGATGTTTATCGATATGGCATGATCAAAGGAGCGGCAGAAAAAACCGTACCACTAAAATGGGTTAGTCCAGAACGAATGATGGCTGGAAAAGTACCGATTACATGGAGAAGCGATGTGTACGTATTGGAAATTAAACATTCATTAAAAGAGATCATTGAGTAAAATTACATTTAGGATTATTTATTAGATAGAACGCTGGCGTTTGGCTCGTTTGCTAAATTTTTGTTGTGGTACATGTTTTTATTGTTATTGGCGTTGTTTACTCCGGACTAATTTCAGTAATGTGGTTATATGTGACTATAAAATGAAGAAATTCAGCGACAGAATTTCATTGTTTTCAAATTGGTTCCTTGGTTTCTGTTATCCTATATTCATACTTGGGTGGACAAGAGTTATAAACAATTAAGCAAGTTATAAAACTTTGCCCAGACCGAAGTTAAAGTAAGTGTTCGTTTTAAAATAAAATAAATTATAACAAAAAAATTCAAAGCTCTAATTAAAGAAATCGGAATCGATCAAAACTTCATTAAAATTCAAAGAGTCTATATTCTAGAATAGATATATTTAATTTTATTTCACGTACTTTTAAATAACAAAAATATAATTAATCATTGACAGTAATTTTTAAGTATTTTAAAGGGTAACGATTAAAATTTCAAGCCGTAATTCCAACAAAATTTCATTTGCACAAATTCTAGCTAATCGGGTTTATGTCCTTAGTTTGCCTTGATTCCAGTCCGTATTATTGCAATGAAAAAGGGTAATATATTTGCGGTCGTGCTCAAATTATAGTTTCATTTTTTGTTCAGATGGTCATTTGGAATATTATTATATGAAGCGATCACGCTGGGAGCATCTCCGTATCCGGAAATACCACGAGATGAAATATTCGACAAACTGAAAAGTGGATATCGAATGAAACAGCCTGAATCATGCAGTTTATATCTGTGAGAAATGTTTTTATCATCGTACCCTATGATGTTCTAACTTACCCCAGTGTCTCACATATTGAATAGAGAGAAACTGATGTCTACTTTTTAAAATGAGAAAATGGATATATATATTATTATACTTTTTGTGTAATTGAAATTATCATCTGTAAACTTTTAGTTTGAACATAGTCGACTCCCAAACCAACTAATTTCCAATTTCAAACTTTCAATGCCAATCTTACTCACATTCACCAGGTAATTTAACATAAACACTGAATTAATATAGAAGATTGTTGTCTTTTCCAACACATTTAATTTATTATTATTGTTGTGAATATCATCACACTGGCATCGACCGAATATTATCACTCAATAACTGCGCACTCAGTGACACCTTCTATTGACATTTCGTGTTTCACAGATACAACATTATGCTCAAATGCTGGGAATGGAAACCATTGAAACGTCCAACGTTCAAACAACTCGTGGAGGATATGAAACCGCCTTCATTACAGGACTCCGAACACTATGTTAATATTGTCGCTATGGTGCCAACATTAGACGCTTTAGAAGAGGAGGGAAGTTCTACGTCACAGAGTATTGGAGTGTCACGTCATCTTGATATTACACCTCCTCACCAAAACGGAAACTTAAATGGATCATTGGTAGTCTGATTCAAATTTTGTGAATTGATTCGTAATCCGTATTTTACGCACGGAAGATAGAACAGAAGAGGAAAGGAGGACAAAAGATTATGCGAATGAATTTAGCGCCATGCTTTTGCAATATGACGTTTCAAACTAACTGAGCCACTGATCCACTATTACAACTCTTGTTTTTAATATAAGGTATATTCAGTCAAATGTTGTTTTTTGTCCATTGAAGATATAACCAATTGATGCTCTGTAGCTCATTAGCGAATATAAATTTACGATGCATGAAGGAAAAAAATTGATTGTGACTTTGAAAATGGAGAAATTTCTGTCGTATATTCATTCGTCAAAATTCTTTTAGAACTTTCACTTAAACTGACAAGTAGTCTTAGTAATGGGGACCGATGTTTTCATTTCGCAGAACATGCCTACTTGCATTACCATATAATAAGGGAGACGCTTTCTTATTATATACAAAACAATTCTATTTCTAAACTGCAATTATTTTCGGTTTCCATCAACTGAAAGTTCTGATGAGTTTAATCGAACGAGCATAATTTCCATACGAACAAACTTATGGACCAATCCAAGTTCCAATATTGCTAATTTTTACCACAAACCTTTAGCCGTTCAGTACCATCGTAGGTATTTGCAAAACTACTTTTATTATCCACGAAAAATGTGTGTAATTTATTGTGCAAACCTCTAAAGAAATCTATCCCTTCTGTTAGAAAACGTCTGCAAGCAGATCATTTTTTATTTATTCTCTTTTTATACTTATTGAAAGTGAGCAAAATTTTCAGCAACATTTGAAAATGCGTGAATTAGATAGTATTGCAAATTACTTTTGCCAAATTCTATATATTTTAAAATTCAATATGGAAGCTATGAAAAAGTTGCATTATCATCAGCTCACAACGGTTGCTGCAAAATTAGTTATGATTTAAAATGTTTTATTTTGTTTCTTGTTTCTTTATTATTTTCATTATAACTTTCAACTTTTATTGAGAAAATTGTATGTGATTTATGCGCATGCTCTTTATTCATTGGGTACAAAGGTCGAACAAGGGTTTTAAATCACTAATACGCATCACAGAATATACAACATTGACATAAAACGTTTGGAAATTGTAAATTTGTTTTTACTTGATCTCAATCCATGTAAACTGGAGTAATTGTAATCTAATACTAATCAATAACATGTTACGTTGTTTCAAGTTCATTTTTAGATTTGTATTTTACTGTCAATATGTCAAAAAATTATGCATATTTCAAATACATATATATTAATTTGAATAGTGATTTAGTCTTATAATTTGAAAATTTACACTTTAAACTTGACAAATATAATCGTAGAGTTCGCTCAGCATAATATATTAAAATAAACACCTAGAGCTGTCTTGAAATCGAACATTCCATCTGACGAGATGATTCAACTCTTTTTACAAAACTATTCACAGTTAAAACGGGGTTTGAATGAATTGGGTAGGCGATACCGACCCAGCAAAATTCCAATCCTCTCAGAATAGTAGCTCCTTACTTATCAACTTGTCTAAAACCTTGTTCGGAGTAAAGCTCTGAAACTATACAAAAAAATTGGGAAATAATTAGAAATGTTAGTCATGTTGTTGTGCCGCCAATTTCAGGCAAAAATTATAGTGTTGTACATGAGTTTTTAACTGATACTTAATCCTATGTATATTGAGTTGCTGCTCTAACAAATATTCCAAGATATGTTTTGATTTATTGAATGCATATTATTTTAAATATGACCTGAAAATAAATCAGTGAATGATGTATCATTTTGTTTTCTTTGGTATTTCGCGTTCAAGTCAATCAAGTTGATAATTAAGAATAAACCTCGTCAATTTATCATAACTTATTTAAAACAGCCACCCAATGACCTACCAGGAATGCGTTACATCAATCTATTTGAGTTGAGCCTTTAAGAGTGCTGGATTTAGTTAAATATTTTTTGATTTTTTTCTGGCGCCAAAAGATTGAAACCCCTAAGACTCATAGGTTAATTTGTGCTACCGCAACACATAAAACATATTCTATCAATTTCGAGAAAAAGCTTGAATCACATGGGCTATATTTCAAATATAAATGTTTACGATCTTGTATTACAAAGAGAGGTGCGAAATATGCAGCATGTGCAGAAAACATCTGCATATTATAGACTTACGAATATTTTATATTTATATCGGTCCGAGACAAAAAAAGTAGAAAATATTATAAAAATGGCTTATAATACGAGTCGGATATCAGATATACAAGTACAGGTTGTCGATTTCCAATTTCTCGCGTTGTTTGGTATAGAACAGAATTTCATAGCACGTAAGGCGTTGAGGGCCAATAAACTCGCACCCAGTGTAATTCATTGCTTAGCTACAAGCCAAATATTGATTTCTATTTGCAATATACTGTATTTTATTGTTGCAAAATTGACCCTAATTCATTCCGCTGGCAATTGAAAATGTATTTTTGATAATTTTTGCAGCTCAGATCATTACTGCAGAAATGATACCTTCTGTCAAGTTCCTTGTAGTTTTTTGGGCTTTGTCACAAGCAACGGGACAACGCGAACAAAGCGTCCCTTTTCATACATCCAAAGATTCATGCAATGTCATCAATGTTCAATGTGGAAAAAGTCAGTTTGATGAAACAAGTAATGAAGAAGGTCAATCACGTGGCCCGCAAGGCCCGCCAGGTAAACTTGGTCCCAGAGGTCCCCATGGCTCAGGAGGAGACAAGGGTCAAAAAGTAAGCATTAATTACATTGAAGAAAATAATATGCTGAGACATTTATTGTATATTTATCGCGCCACGTTCTTTGCTCCTTCTGAACTTGATTTTACCAATCCGTGTAAGAGTGTAAAAATTAGGGTAACAATATTCATTGCGTAAGTTTTTTAGCTGATAGCTATACTACTGTTTCTGACACAGGTGCGTACTATTCGAGATTTTTTTCAACAATTTTAAATATGTATCAAACCTGTATAATGACATGCATGAAATACTCTATTTATATTTTCATTTTTACGATTGATTAGAAATTTGTTATGGGTTTGTGATGACATTTTATGTATTGCTTTTTGTAGTATATGCCATACTTACACATTGATGCTTAAAACAGTAATAATATAGCAGCAAACATGCATTCCATTCAAAATGCTTCCATGAAAAGAAAGTATAGTTAAAAAAGTCCCCGCTCGACATTAATATTTTACACTGTTTCAAGTCACAGAAAATCTGGTAGTACATTTTTTCATAAACAAAATTCCATACTCACAAAGTACATATCCAAAAAATATTTGTAATCCACTAGCGTTGTTAATTTTAAATTCATACCATTTGATCAAATACTATCATGGACTTACATTAAAGGGCGAGGTTGGAATGAAAGGCGAGCCAGCACCTGATGTGAGATCCAGCTTCATTACCGATTTAATGTTTGGAATTCTTCGTAAGTATTTGAATTTTCATCCATATAAATTTGAATAAATCCTGATCAACGGTGCCCATTTGAAATTAAACAGCTAACTCAAAGAAAGAAAAAACTGACATACTAAGAAAAACGTTGACTTACTCATGTGCCTTGGTAAACCTTTTAATCATAGTACAAGCAATTGGCCAGGATTTATTTAGATGAACAACATACAGAACAGTGAAACAATTTGCAAACGAGAAAGAGGTGGTTGTTGAAACGATAATATTAAATAAAAACATATAAATCGACGTAGATGCCAGACTCTAATTGTTCATCTAAGTTATATTTTGGTGAAGGTGTGACGAGTTGTCGACAATTGGAAACGGAATTTGGTATCACACAATCTGGATTTTACGTTATGAAATCACCGGAATCCACACAAGCAATGAATATGTATTGCGACTTCCATGTATATGAAGGTTGGCAATAGTTTATAACTTGTCCAAGAAGGAAAACATACGAATATTAATTTCTATTCAAATAAACTATAGCAGTATCTTGATTTCACTCCAACAGACTAAAAAAATAATAAGCAAATTTATTGTTTCCAAAATGTTTCCTTCGCGATAACCCTGAGTATCTCATTGTTTGAAGTATTTCGCATATCGCAATTCAAAAAAAACACACACATACATCTTTCGCATCATCTCATCGAAGCATTGGGTGTGTTCAGGCAATGCTAAGTACTTATATGTTATATTCCCATGGACCGGTGCTCAACTTTTATCAAATACTATCAATATCACAGGTATCACCACTTGCCATCATCTAAGATTGAAATACAAGGTAAGAATGTCGGGAATTTATAAAATAAGGAAAAACAGCGGAAGCAATGTATTGGACCTATATTGCAACCTATCGTCGCCAAGAGGTTGGTTGAAACTATGATTTACCCATCCGCTTTATAACATTGAATATGTTTTATAGTCATCGATTCACATTTTTAGTCTCGGTTCACAAAAAGCATTAAATGCTAGTATTATCTCCTAGTGTAGCAAAACATTCTGATTCCATAAGAATTAATGATACAAAACTAAATTGAACAACAATAAAAGCGACTTTATTATTTTTAGCTACAACTGAAGTCTGGCATAATATGATGGAAGAGAATTTTATTACTGAGAAGTGCGAGGACAAAAACTGTTATAAAACAAAACCCAGTTACTTCATAGCCGATCAGGAAATATTGGACATAGTTACCAGTTCAGAAGAGTGTAGACAGTATATAAAAGTAACTTTCTAAAGTATTGAATTTACTGCTAAATATTTCAATTTTTGAGTTGGAAGCTTTTTTTTTATTAAGTGTCACTACGCTAATTAAGTTTCACTATGCTAAGAGTTAAAATAGAAATAAAACATCCTAATTAGTATCACATCAAACGTATACGAGTCAGTAAAAACTCATTGAGGAAGCAAAATTTGACTGCAATATTTGATATACTCCATCAACGTTTTGTTTAGCTGACCTACCAAACTTTTGTTCCGTTACAACAAGTCATATCTCTAAATTGTTTCATCACTATATCGCATCACGCTATAATCAATAATATAAAGTTGATGATGAGACATAGGATTCAGAAATTTGGAAAATCTTGAAATATAAAAATAACAAACTATAGTGCATGTTTTGGTGAATAAAATTTTTCATTATATTATTGTAGTTTAGATGTTTTGGTGTAGTTTTAACATTCGGGTCTTGGATTGCTCGCGATGGAGAAGTCATGACATACTGGGGAGGATCGACATCAAGAAGAGCTGGGTATTGCGCTTGTGGAGAAACAAGTGAGAAATAATTTTGATAGTCAAATCAAAAATTGTATTTTTAGTATTTGAAGGTTTTTGAATTCAATCTGGTTCTATTATTTTTGTCATTCTCTAGTCTAGACAATTTGTTCGCTCTAACGATTTGTTTTATGGGTTTGAAACGTAGTTGGTAAACTTTTTTGTTGCCTTCGAACGACTTCACTTCTAATGAGTAAAAACAAAATTTTTCATAATTTGCTGTGATTAGCGTTAGCCAAGAGACGGCATCGGCAACCTACGACACGCGGGCCTAACCCGGCCCGCGGAGTAAAATAATCCGGGCCGCGACGCTCCACTGAATTATAGCGACAAAATGGCGGTTTTGATGATGGATTAACTTTATATTCCACGCTTGAGGAGTTGATTATATTTTTCACGTAACAGAATTTATTGTGAGACATGTGTAGATTAAATTATAATATACCCCAACCTATACTTAGTGATTATCTACTTGTTTGACGAGCCTACAATTTAATTGTAATTAGACAAATGGCAACACGCAGAAAAGTTAATGCTGAGTGCAGAAGGTGCAATGGCGCTGAAAATATTTGAGCTTCTTGACATGCAATGCAATGAGGAAACAAAATCCATATTGTATCACTGCTTCATTTTTATAAAAAGTATCTTCTTGCGTGCGAACAATTATTTTCGAAAATGAACATCACAAAGAACAGTCGGAAAAATCGAAATCTGTGAAAAAATTGTGATTCTTTTTTACCTTCCTAAAAAATGTGTGCCGCCCGCCAAGACTTCCACCCCTAGATTTTGGTTCGCGATCGACAAAGGGTTGCCGACCCCTGGCGTACGCGAAAGAACATGTCAATTGTTAGTTTTTCGCGTGCCGAACGGGCTACCGATAATTGTAATTAACACAGAAATAAAAATTGTTGGTTTGTCAGTGTGCGTCAAAGTTTAATGTGCCAATTGTTTATATGCGGAAATTGATGAGGCCCTCACACTGCCCCTATGTTCATTTATGGCCAGGTAGTAGACTGGTTTAAAACATGGCGATTGATTGTGCGAAACGTCATTTTATAGAGTTGAAACACAATTTACTCAATATATTCTTTAATTAATATGAATGGAATAATTTTGAATTTTCCAGTCTAATTCTAATTTATTTATTTAGACTCGTGTGAACCAAATCATTTAGGCAATCGAGGAAAATGCAACTGTGACAATAATCAATTGCTGCTTACCCAAGACGAAGGGTATTTGACTGATAAAACCAAACTACCAGTTCAGGAACTTCGATTTGGTGACATGGGGGGGACACCTGAAACTGCCAGTATCAGTCTTGGAAAACTGGAATGTATGGGTTAAAAAAGAAACCTTACAAAATGACCTGTTTACTTTTAATCTTATGCTCATGCTAAATAGTTGCAAACACTTCTTTTTAAATCTTCAATTTTGGGTGATTTAAGCGGTTATAATACTATAGCTGTTATATAATACATAAACTACATTTAAATAAGTAATTGTTTCATTAGAGTTGTTGATGATTGCACAATAGTCTACTCTGATTTTTCGTTAAATTGTTGTTAAGGAGACCGCTTTTTTTGAGAAGAGACTTTTTTTATTGCCCCTCAATTAAATCAATAATCAATTGCCCGATTTTTGATTTCTAATAGTTGAAAGTGGATGAATGTCTATCAATTTAAATTTTTCAATTTCAAACTCCCAGGATATATTCAATACAAAACTTTGTTGTTCCATCTTAGTACATAGTAAAACCTTTCACAATACTAGAAAATTTTATTTGTCTCGCCTGTTCTCCCAAATTTTCAGTATATTCGGTCTCAGTTAAGATCCCACTGTAGTGTACCAACACTCACTTTTTGTTTATATATTTGATAGGAAAATGTGATTTATATAAAAATGTGATAGGAAGTCAACAATTGTACTATGACTGAAAAGCATTTGAGTAACTATATATCCAGATTTAAATCGTATCGTTGGCAAAAATTTTCGAGCTCGATCAAGTTAATGTTATGATCTGTCGTTCTATTATTTTAATTATATATGATTAAACAGCATTGTTTTTCTATATCTACAAGCTGGTTATATAGTCGCATGCATGCATGTCTTTGAGTTCTATTATTTAAAATATTAATACGTTGAAATTTATAATGAAATACACATCGCTTTATTGCACAATAATAATATGTATAAGTATGTATCATTGTAAAAAATATAAAATCATTATTACTATCTGATAATCCAATAGATGCTACCATAATACGTTTTAAAACTGTGTTTTGTTCAAGATACGTAAGTGTAGTGAAGTCGACACCAGTCAACTTGTTAGATTTCCAAGCTCGTAAGGATGCTTGCTACTTGGGGGATCAGTCAGTATGCCATAGATGCCATAAAACAATCCTGGTTGGAAATTCCAATGAATGAGTATAACAGTGCAGGACATAATCTATTTACAATTTCTCCTTCCAGTAAGTTCAGTTTCAAGTTGAATGTTAACGTTAAGGGATAGTGTTGCTCTCCTTTGGGGAGTGATGAATGGGTTTGAAAGTATGAGGCTTTACGTATATGGTATGTGGATCAACAGCCACAGTGTGAGCAGGTATGGAGGAAGGCTCATGAAAGTATACAAATAAAACAGAAATGATGCTTTGGTATAAAAGAGCGCTGAAAACGACAATCATGAACCACCATTTTCCTTGTCCCTGTAAAATGAAGAAATGTTAGGTGTTTCAGATCTGGGAAAGTAAACATCGTTGTGTTACTATTAGAAAGCTAATATTGAGGTATGAAAACTGTTCTGATTAGTAAAGTGTAATTAAAATTTTATTCAAATTGGTTGAACACAAGCACAAATTTAACATAAATTTATCAGCTCTCATGGGAACTCATCATGCCATAAGTTTAACGATTAAACGAACGAGGAGAACAAGAATTTCTAAAGTTTTTACTAATTTCAACTTTATGCAAACGAGTATACATACTGAAAAAATAGTGAATTTTCCAATATTCAATGAAAAGGGGACTAAAACAACGACTAAACAGAAATCACGTAAACACAATCTGTTCGACGGTTTTTATTTATTAAAGTGACTGAAAATATTGTAATTCACTGTAAAATGCTCACCACTGTTTCTCTTTTATAAAACCAGGATAACAGAAGACATACGAAGATACTTACTAAAAAAAATTAGGTAAAAATAAATTATATGTCAAGAATTTTCGTGTGCAAATGTCACGTTTGACTAGGGTAACGAATAGAATGAATGAATTGATACGTTAGAGTCTAACGTATGTTTGCATTTAGAGCCCATCATTTTGGAAGTATCAGGTAGGCAGTTGAATACATTCAGTAAGTCCCAGTTATATTTCTCTGTTATTATTGGAGAACGTTTATCCATAGGCAGCTATTCAAAAGGAAACACATAGGCCAAGTTTTGAAATCCAGAGTGCACGCTCCAATATACAAACGAGAATATCGGTCAGAGACCGAAGACTTATCGACCGAAAGTCAGGGGCTCCCCCAAAACATCGCTCTTACGCAATAGTGACACCTTGTGTACCATTACTAATTAATTAATAACTCGCTAATTATACTACATAATTCATCCAAAAACAATAGGCTTCTGTTCCGACATATGATGAATGCACATGCAAAATCTGGAGCAGATTCAATCTCGTTTTCGATAGATATCGCGTGCATCTAACAGACAGACAGACAGACATACAGACAGACAGACAAATACCTATCAACACACTTACCGATTAAAATCGATAAGTAATAAGCTACTGCCTTCATTTAGTGCACTGTGCCGATTTCGCTACCAACAACATTAAATGGGGATGTATGAATGAATCTTGTCATTAATAAGTTATATTTATTACGCACAAACCAATATATGCATGATTGTTTACAGGGCATATTGAATTATTAGATTATTAAAGTAACTTACTTGCAATATTGACAAGTAGATATAAGTCATGGTGAACTGATGATGACTTAATTCCCACGAGTACTATCGCAATAATTGCAACGATAAAACTTATTGCACCGTAACCGCGCACAAGTTTACTCTGAAAAAATTAAATGAATAAAAAGTGATAGATTCACATGAAGGCTCTTAAAACTAATGCCGTTACTATTAAGTGGGGGCTCCCGAGGTATGCGAACCAAGATGGCGGACATCGGAATGTAATATGTGTACTAGGTTAGGGTTAGGCCATAATTTTAGGTATAAATACTACGAGAGGCTCTTGGCTCGTCTTCGAACTGATAATAGGACTAAAATAAGGAAAATTGGAAAAAAATTATCGCCTAACCCTAACCTGTTACCCATGTTACGTTCCGATGTCCGCCATCTTGGTTCGCATACTTCTGGAGCACCATTAAGTGTTCTCCAAATCAAGCTATGACTCCCCTTCCCATTTTATTAAAAACTGTCGTTAAGAATTTCAAGAGGGCCTATATCTACTGTTTTCGGTCACAGAATATTCCCAACTGTTCAATGTTTCCTCCAAGTTAGGTAAGTAATTTCGTACGCTTACCTTAAGAGGACTGATTTCGTAGTAGATTGGTCCAGATGAATTATTCTCCATTGCAACTCTGCCTTCTAAATTACAATTTACCTGTAATATTGACGGTTTAAACCAACAGCAGCATAGCTTCGATGTATCATATACCCGTGGTCGCTCTTATGAATTGTTTGGATAGACACGCCTGGACGACTAGTTATACATCACATGAGTGTGGCACAGAATAACATTGTGTAACCTCCACAATACGTCAGATAACTCGAATATGATTCACGTATTTAGTTCCATCTTGCAAAATGCGTGATCATGCATACGCACGAAATATCTAAATACTAGGTCGTTGAAGAATAATAAAGATTCTGAAAAATTCAACTAATTTTTGTACCAGGAGTTATTTTCGAAATAACATTATTCATTTTATACCGGAGCTAAACAAAAGTCGCGAGTTGATTTGTGCTCGACGGTTGGTATGAGCCCTAAAATAACGCGAGTTTTAAGATACTGTATAAGAATATTTTTCTGTCACAGAAAATAATTTAGTTGGCCGAAATCTGTTAGCGGTTAAAATTCGACAATTACTCTAGAACAAAAAAAAAACGAAAGATAAGTTTTGTTCCTCAGAATGTCAGTTTAAAAGTTTGTATATAACATTCTTCTCATTCAATATAACTTAGGTATAGAATATTTCGACAAAAGTTTTTTTTCCATAGAGAAATTTGTAGTATTCAATATGTGTCTCGAATATGGTGACTGCGTCTATATATTCAAGCTGTTCTCGTGTAGGCAAGATAAAGCCAATAATTCGAAACAGTTGTCTGTGGATAAGGTAAGCAAGGCTATAAAATAAGTCAAAGTGGAAAAGCATGGCATAAAGAGTAACTCACGGATAGATGAATAACCTTAGTAAGCCATGATAAATTCGTGTGCCGAAATACTGTACCTGTAAATACTGTGCCTGTATTTTAAAAAATGAATTCGAGTTCATGAATTTGAATCGCTTTTATGCTTTGCTGAGTGTTACCAGGTTCTCAAATTCCCATTATATTTTGAAGATGATTGCTGGATACAATACGAATAAGAAAAGTATTTCTGAAATTTGCATAATATCCCATTTTCCGCCAGTATCGCATTATATTATTATATTGCAGTTTCCTAAAATTGCCAATTTAAGATCCGATTTTCTGAGTTCATTTTGCACCGTTCATTTTCAGAAAACTTTTTTTTAACCAACAGGCTTTAAAACTTCATTCGTAGCTTTTTAAAAGCGTATGCTCAAGTTCTGTATGACGAGATAACGCTAAAGGTTTATTCTTCTTGATGTCATTTTACATGATATGCGACCTAATATCCAAGAATCTGTAAAGGTTTAGCAGATAAGGGCTTCTGTGTAGTGTAAAGGTTTATGCGTTAATTATAGATAATTAACTTTACTGTTCTTGTGGCATTTTCAAACAAAACAAAACCTCAACCATTATTATAGCTAAAATCGTTACTGAAAAAGTCACAATTATATTTACGGAATTTGCAAAGTCAGCGCTTCACTTGACAATTCTCATGACGTCATGCCCTTATTATTACTGCAAATCAGCTTCAAAATGAAGGGAATGTAATTATTTTCGAAGAGAATTGGCGCAACAAATCGTAAGTAAGCCAATATGCGTCGTTACAACGAAATTCGTGATGGATTTCAAGTTATATTCTTGTTCACAATTTAAGCTGATATATCTGCTGGCCTGATGGGGCTGATAAGCTGGAGTGCGCATAAGCACGGAAGGATCGTTGTAAAGCAAGCTTTCGAGATAGAACTGGAAAGACGTTGCGGATATAGGAAGATGCATTTTCTACACAATTCCCATTTCCAATTTTTTCAAAGCAAGTTTGGGAATTGAATGACAGCATAAGAACGTCAAGTATAAAGAACACGCTATTTCTTTTTACTGTGTCTATCAAAATTAATCCAGTGGATCAGATTCAGAATGTTGAAACTAATTATACTATTTTCTTACTTTCAAAAATATTTACACTTACTTATTCATAAAATATTCGTAGAATGAACATAAAATCCTACACCAGTTATATATGCTTCCTATTTCGATGTATGATGGCGAATGTCTATATTTCCTAATTAAATACATGTTTAACCTTATTTTGTGAAGAGATATCGAGATGCGTATGATTTTACCAGTCATCGTACTGAAGCAAATTTTGTATTGCATTTGAAAACGTCCAAACGACTGTGTGCTATCGTATTTCAATTCACCACCCCACGCTAGAAATCAGCTTGTCGCACTTCATATCGCAATTCTGATGATATTTAATATCAAGTTTACACAAAAAATGTTTCGCAATAAAACTAATCTTTTTTATATGATGTTTGTTTCAATTATTGTCCAGATTAATTGATCTCGAGTCGCTTAGGTATATCATAGCTACGCAATTTTATTGATTGTGAGGCATACACAATAACTCTTCATTACGTGACGACGTACAACGTTTTTCACCTTCAAATTATTGTACAAACGTTTTAATCAATTTCAAACGAGATATCGTTTGTATTGCATGAAGCAGGCATGTGTACGTTTTCGGATAAATATGGCTAAAATAATTGTCAAACCATACAATTCTTTGTATGATGATCCCAATTTGGTGATCAGAGTGGTGAATCTAGGGTTAAATGAGAAAATAACTATACAATCATGTCAGACGAGTGATAAAGGAAGAGAATTTCATGCTTATGCATATTACATAACTGACGACAATGGAAAAGTTGATGTTTCGGTCGATTCTTCGTTTGGAGGATATTACACCGGCGTGGAACCGTTGGGACTATTATGGGCAATGAGAATAGTTCCGGGACCAAAACAGAAATTTTCGTCTTTAGTTAAGCAAGATGCAACCACACCTGCTTTCATTATATATAAAGTGTATAGAGGTCACATTGACATTGATCAAATTGGAAGCATAAATACCAGAAAGTGTTTGATGGCGTCTTCTAAATTTGAAAGAAAATTTGCGAATTCTAACATTCGTCGGTTCGTTGTAAAAGAAGGTGATCTCAGAGGTGTTATATTTGTTCCTGAACAAAAAGGTTCTTTTATGGGTGTTATAGATTTAGGAGGAGTGAACGGTGGGATGGTAGAAATGCGCGCGGCACTACTTTCAAATTACGGATTTGTTGTACTGAGCCTAAGTCTCTTTGGCGCTTTCGATCAGATAAAAAAAGTTTCTCACGTTGATTTGGCGTACATTGAAAGAGGGGTCAAATATCTTCTTTGCCACGAGAAAGTTTTTAAAGATGGGGTCGGGGTGTTGGGAGTTTCATTTGGAGGAAGCGCTGTATTGGCTGCAGCAACATTTGTCAAAGATATAAAGTGCGTTGTGAATATTAGTGGTCCTCTTTCTGCTTCTGGTTTTACAAATTTCAAATATGGTGAAAAAATATGGATGCCCACGGAAGAAAAGATTAATGGACATCCAGTGATTGACGGCATACAGCGTCCATCGTGCATGATACAAACTCCACAATATCTAAAAATTCATAAGCACTTCCCAGAATTTCAAAAATCGGAGGCATCCATACTTTTTATATACGGCGAAGATGACAGATCAGTGAACTGGAAAGAACAGTCAGAACTTGCTATACAGCTAATGAAATCTTCAAACAAGACAAATTATGAAATAAAATCGTACCCCGGAACTGGCCATATGATCTTTCCCCCATACGTACCCATGTTTTCTTTGGCGTATATCTTGCCAACGGCCAACTATCCCACCTACCTCGGTGGTACATCGAAAGATCATGCATATGGTCAGGCTAATGCATGGAAACACATTATCAGCTTTTTGAAAGAACATGGGAACAAAATGAGAGATAACAATTTCACTCTCGAATCACGTTTGTGAGTTCTAAACACCGGAGTAATAAATAAATAGTGGAACGTGTGTTTCCGAATATATTTATACAGCGTACATTTTTTAAATTGTTCCAGTATTTTATTTAAAATATTGATACAAACGAGCATGATGTTGTTAAAAGTCGAAGTTTGAAAAAATAGACGCAGAGAAAAGGTATTATGTGTTTGGCTGACCACCTGTACTAATATATACAGTATATGCCTCTTTCTGGATATTCAAGAACAATTATATTCCAGTTAATAATAATAAAATTACAGGTGGAGGATGTTTTAAATTTTATATGGACGTTCACCACTTATGAAAGGGATGTAGGAAAATTACTGTGTGACATCATATTAAAGAGAAGTGACAAGGGTCAATTTTCAAGTAATGGGTTAATAAAGTTATTTTGAACTAATTTGCTTGTATACACAGACTATTGTAACAACCTGTACAAATATTACGTTTCCTAGTCAGTCTGCTAGTAGGGCATAGAAAAAAATATAGTCCAATTTCAGGAAGGCGTCAAAGTAATAGAAAACCAGCTAATATTATAATATTTCTTGATGTTATAGGCTGTGGACTGACAAAAATAGAAATTTGGACCAAGTCCGTCTTGATATCGTCACAAAAGCTACAAAATGGAACTGCACAATAAAGCATGAGATTGAATTTATCGAAAAAAAAATTCTTATTCACTGAAGGGCAAATTTCAATATGACGTTAAAGAGCTCCCAAAGTTTTGAAACAAATCTATTAGTTGTGTTTAATAGGTTTTAGAGTTTTGGGTAGGTGATCGAGGGTATTCGAGTGTGCGGGATTAGGTCAAGGGCCGTGTTCCCTTCAAAGTGTGTGCGTGTGCGCGCGCACATAGCTTTCAGAGGCTGCGCACACGCATAGATTTACTGCGCACAGACGTATTTCGATGTAATGTAACCATGTTCTCGGTTGGCAGGTTGAGAAAGTTTGTTGTTGGCCCACCCATTATCCGGTTAGAACGCCAAAATTTCTTCATAGATTTTTGCACAAATATTAGTAATTTCCAAAAAAGTGCGCACACACCAAAATTTCGGCGCACACATACTACAAAAAATTGAAGGGAACATTGGTCAGGGGACATGTTGGTTAGTGGTCGCGATATGCTTGGCAGTTAACAAAAGTGACTGACTCTCTGTCGACCTTCCGTGGCTGCAAAAACTTTTAATACAGACGCTAGATGCCATTGGAGTTATACAAAAAATGCCAAATTTACGTACTTCTTTGTATTTTTTCATACTCACGGCCCTCATTTGTTCATTCTACATATTACTGTGTCCTGATCTAAAATAAGAGTTCATTATAGTAACTTTATGATATAATTTACTTCCTGAACAGACGTAATTTTGAACGATCGTGTAAAACTAGCTAATTTTCCTCAAAGTTTATAGTTATAATTTATATGAAGACAAAAATGTCTTTTTCATTTAACTATTGAATCCAACCAGTTCAAATTTTTGAGCCATTTTTTAAACTGGCAGTTGTAAGCCGTCAACAAGAGATTCACAAAAAGTCGTCTGTGGGCAGCAGAGGTGTGTTGGTTCACCATCAGTGACTGGTCATTTATGTTTGGAGCGTTAAAGTACGATACAAGGGCTTATCCAATAAGAGCATTCAACATATAGTTGCCGCATTGTGAGGGAAGACGAGGAAATCAATCTTAAAATCAGAGAACATTGCCCCACCTGCAATAAGACTTGTACGGATAATGAAAGGCGGATTTACTCAGTGAGACATTTTACTGTAGCATACTATTTTGTGCTTGCTAGGGAAATTGAAATAAGTATGTCGTATGTTAGTAACAAAATATCAGCTTGAACAAAAATAAGAGCAGATGTTACTTATATACGTGTTTTCTTCTTTGATCCCATATTACTGTATATTCCAGAATACATTTTATTAGCTTCTCTTATTAGCTGAGCACCAAGATTGCTGTCAAGATCAGAGAACAGGTGTGGCAAGGTACAATCCGCTGTTTAAAGGTTGTATAATATCGGCATTTGTGTACGTATTAGATATATATAATGTCCGAGAATTGACTGACTAGAGTTTGATAAACTTCGTTGACCGAGTCTGACTAGTAAGCCGACTCTTTGCCCTCAACGCCAACGCGAATGATTAGACGTTAAAAAATCCATATTTGATTTTATTTGTAGATTTTCAAAAAACACTGAATGCAATCCTAAAACTTCTCAAGACTTGAAAACGTGATCTCATGATCACGTCGTAAACAGAAATTCTTATTACCTCAATATGGGCAATTATGTACGCCGTACGGATAGGAAATGTGATTATTAGGTTTATAAATTAACTTATGATCTAGTACACATTACGTGGCGCCAGTAACATTTATTGCTATCGAAGATGCATCTTTGGAGAATCACTGCTTTTTGATTCGCATACTTTTTCACTATAATTTAATATATAGGCCAGGCTCTAATAATATTGTCCATATGTTTTGCATGTGAGTACATATCATGTAAAGTTTACGTTATTGACTATGCACGCTCGCATGATGTACAGCACGATTTTGCTTTCAACAATTCAAAAGATGCATGTTAAAATATCAGCCGCACGTTCGACTGGATACAACCAAATTTCAGTAAAGTATTTCGTATTAAATGCATTGTGGCAAGCTGCCCTATATGTACAATAACTAGTCTTTTAGCTTTTTATGTAAGTAATGAAATAACGCACATACCGAGCGCAAAATCTTTATCAAAATATTTGAAAATTCAACACATTTTCCTGTTTTATCACTCGAACTGATTTGTTTAGGTATATTTAAATAACTTTTAATAACTATAAATAACAGATAAATGTTAGAAAAAAAAAATACTTCTATGTATTTGATAAATACCACACCTCATTTAGAAATATCAACTCAAAATAACTTATCACGTATTTAAAAAATTCTGCTTTATAGATAGTCCACTTTTAAAGCACGATGACATTGTTAATTAAGTAAGTATCAATGGTAAAAACTTGTTTTTAATGTGGAGAAAGAATCGAAAGATAAATTAGGTCTTGCATTTTACAATAGGAGAGATTTCTCGTCTCACAGCTTAATTGCAGGAATTGTGAGAGAAGGGGTTTTTGATATTTCTGTAATGAGAAAATGCCTTAGGCTATGTTGTTTCCGTGAATTTGATTATAAGTAGGTTTTTCTAGACGCACTATTATTTAGAACTGCAGTTTTTGTTGTTAATGCTGACTGTTGTTGTTTATCTTGTGTGAATACGATTCCCCAAATCAGGATTGTTTCGCCCACCAAAACATGATGTTTATGCAGGTTTCCCTTTTTTTTAGTAGTTTTCAATGTTTATCAGTAACAATTGCAGAATTGTTTTATACAGAATCCTTGTTTACTCTACCAAATAATATGGCCAAAATCTTAGTCAGCCCTTATAGTTCCTTATATGATGATTCTCAGTTGGTAATCAAGGTAATAAATCTTGGAAGAAATGAGAAGGTAACATTACAATCGTGTCAGACGAGTGATAAAGGAAGACATTTTCATGCTTATGCATATTACTTGACTGATGATAATGGGAACATCGATGTTTCCGTCGATGCTTCATTTGGAGGATATTACACCGGCGTGGAACCATTGGGACTACTTTGGGCAATGAAAATAGTTCCAGGACCGAAGCGAAGATTTTCCTCTTTAATTAAACAAAATGTCACCAAGCCTGCTGTTATTTTGTTGAATGTTTATCAAGGTCACATTGATATTGACAAAATTGGAATCAAAGGCGTTAACAAGTGTTTGATAGTAACTTCTATATTTGAACGAAGAATAATGAAATCAAATATTCGTCGGTTTATCGTTGAAGAAGATGATCTCAGAGGAGTTATATTTGTTCCTCAACAACAAGGTTCTTTCATGGGTGTGATAGATTTAGGAGGAGTGAACGGTGGAATGGTAGAAATGCGCGCGGCACTACTTTCAAATTACGGATTCGTTGTCCTGTGCCTAAGTTTGTTTGGCGCTTTCGATCAAATGAAACAAGTTTCTAGTGTAGATTTGGCGTACATTGAAAGAGGTATCGAATATCTTCTCCGTCATGAGAAAGTTTTAAAAGAGGGGGTTGGCGTATTGGGAATTTCATTTGGAGGAAGCGTTTCATTGGCTGCAGCAACCTTTTTTGAAAATATAAAGTGTGTTGTGAATATTGGTGGTGCTCTTTCTGCTTCCGGCTTCAAAGATTTAATATACGGCAACAAGATATGGACGCCAACGGAAGAAAAACTTAATGGGCATCAGGTGGTCGACGGCATACAACGACCTTCGTGTATGATACTAACTCCAAAATTTCTGGAAATGCATAAACACTTCCCTGAATTCCAAAAATCTAAAGCAAGCATTCTTTTTATTTACGCTGAGGACGATAAATGTATAAACTGGAAAGAGCAGTCAGCACTAGCTAGAAAGCTGATGAAATCTTCAAACAAAATGAATTATGAAATAAAATCGTATCCGGGAACTGGTCACATGATTGGTCCACCATACGTACCGATGTTTTCAATGACTTATCTTTTGCCAATGTCTAAATTTCCGACATATTTAGGCGGCAACTTGAAAGAGCATGCATATGGACAAGCTTATTCGTGGAAATATATTATTAAATTTTTGAAAAGTCAAGAAAACGAAATGAGAAAATTTGATTTGCCTCTCAAATCACTTTTATAAATTTTGGTCTCAACAGGATTTTATCGAATGTACTGAATCCGAAATTTTTTCTGGCACAACTTCACAGTTATATTCTTAATGTTTAAGAAAAATAATGCTTTACTTCAATATACAGTTATTACTTCAATCACGCAATACTAAAAATATCGTTTCAATTTCATCAGTTAATTATCACAAATCATGGCATGACATCAGGTTTTGCGGGTTGCAAGAATTAGATTTTTGATTACTTCCGAAATTGGTTGTATGACGTAATACCAAGTTACTTTGATGAGATTAGCTAAGGACTTTTTATGAATTCATTCAAAGCGGGATTAATAATTTTTTATGTTAAAAATAACTTGGATATTTCTAAGTAAAACGGCAGGAATAATTAATTGCTCTGTTGTGCATTGCTGAAAGATGTCTCTCAGTTAGAGATTTAAGGACTTAGACTGGATACTATTAATATCATCCCTATCTATATTTGAAATATTCAGAACAGCTAATCTTTATTTTTAAAATAACCGCCAATGTTTCTGTCGTTGTTTGCCAAAACCAATCAAAATGCGTTCTTTTGAAAAAGTCGTTCTGGTTAGACAATATTTTAATTTATGAAATATTTATATTTCACTGTTAAATTTGTTTTATTAAACTTTTCTATATTTATTCAATAAATATCAAACTTATCCCAAGAATAAATATATATAGTACGATGGATATGGTTGTGTGCATGCATATGTGTGTAATATTTACCATATAAACCCTTGTTATTTTATTGATAAATTGGATGTTTTTGTTGATACGACGACTGCATATACTCATTGACAATCCTGGCACGTCCGAGACGTTCCCAGTTGGGCAAATAAGTTACAAGAATGATAATAATAATGAAATTATTTGAGCCCAGCCTTCAAGAATAAACCTCAGAAAATTTGTCATTTAATATCAGATATACTTTATTAAAAATTGTAAACGAAATCGTTGATATATTAACTATTGAAATGTTAAGCATTAGTTTTTCGTGTGTTCATCCACTATTTGGCGCAAGTTTGTATTAACGTCTCTTAAACTGCTTCAAACCTTCAAATCTCGTGAATTACTGTGTAAAATAAAAAATTTCTGTTTGAATATTTCATTGCTTTTTGATTTTCATGCAATAGACGGAATGCAACAACCTGCAAATGGGCGCTCGTGTTCAAAAATAGTTTTTTTTTTATAAATTTCTATATTGACTTCTATAGTATCTCATCCCGAATAAAACAATTTCACTTACCTAATTAAGCGATACATAACTAACTGACATAACCAAACTGATTTAATATGAACTTTATGGATACAACTATTTGGAAAAATAACGAAAATAAGAAAAATAAAATTTGGGCAAAATAGGTATTGTTTTCATATGTGAATGGCACAAAATCGGATGAGAATTTTTTTTTTAAATTAAGTTGCCTATATTAGAAAAGCATTGCATAATTGAAGATATTCATTACATTTAAAAAAGTTTTTCTCGATCTCAAATCAACGGGTTCAGCATTTCATTTTTCAACACAATAATAAAAGCATAATTGAAAACACCAAAAGTAAATATTGAAAAGATTCAAGCTGAAATTAGTTAAGGCAAAGAGGCCGAAGTCGGGGAAACCTGAAAGTGATCAAAATACTGCGAGTTCAGATACTTTAAATATATATACTAAAATATGCGAGTTTTTCCCTTATAATCAGCCTATTGTTATGTTCCATCTGTGGCGTTTTTATTTTTTATGTTATTATTTTTCATATATATATGAAGCGCAAATAAATAACAAAACAATTTATGGTTTCTTGCTTTTGGTTACTGCTTCAGATCTGCGTTTCGTTAACCATGGTCCACGCTTAAGGATAGGGGTGTGTTTGTACTAAATTAAAAGCACAAAACTTTTCCCCAGATGAGGAGGTGCCTCATTGAACTGAAAAGCGCGACCAGGGTTGCATGCGTCATGCGTTTGGACCACCCTGAGTTAAGTAAGACATGAGTTAATCAGATCAACTCGTCCGCTCGAACGAATCAGTATAGATTTCAAAGCTTTGTTTCCGATGTGCCGTATCATTTTGGCGAACACGGTCGTTTTCAATTTGTCTGCTACAGTGATACAGTGCCTTTCTACTTTATTTGAATGGTACCTAAATAGTACATAGCGATAGCGGTCATTTTTATCAAGAAGTTAAGGAGTTTCTTGTAAAGCAAAGCGTACCATTCAACTCCACCACCATACAGGAAGAAGGGCGCAGTGTGAAACGATCAATCAGACATTATAGTATAACATAGAGGTAATACTGGCGTCGCAAAATTACCAGAAGCCGCCTGGTAAGAAATTACGTAAGGTAATATCTTCAATATTTACTAGTACAAGCTCGACTCCTCATGAACGATGACTTGGCTTTTAACGACGATCGAGTCGGGGTTTACTTATCTACTCTCGAAAGATAGTATATTACATCGAAAGTATATTTGGACAAAGACTGAACCTCTCTCTACGTTTACGCGATAGCGAATCACTAGGATGAAAGAAAGGCGATTGATTCTGTAAAAACACCTACACCGTTTCCTGACCAATCAAAATCTGAATTCAGTGTAACCTTCTTTCCTAAAATGGCATACTAATTGATAGTGGCTTACCTAAAATTAATTCCACTGTCACTGAAAACTGACGTAGTAGCTGTATAGCACACTTCTTTCTCGCTCTAGTATAAAAGAATACGAAAGAATAGAAGGGAATGTTTTACCTTTTATGATTTACAGAACAACTCCGCGAACGCCCCACAACCATGAAATACCCACATTATAATTGCATATATTGTGAAATTAGAAACCTTAATGAAACCATCAACTGGACATTAGCTAAGACTGTTGAAATTCGGGTGAACGATTCAGCGCGTTACTTCAACCATTAGTCTTAAATTAGTCAGTCGCCTCATTGAGATTTTATTAGCGTCGCGTTGCTATTGACAAAAGCATGGAATAGCACGTGATACACATTGCACAATAGGAATTAAAATTCAAAATTTAGGTGCTCCCGAAGTATGCGAACCAAGATGGCGGACATCGGAACGCAACATGGGTAACAGGTTAGGGTTAGGCGATAATTTTTTTCAAATTTTCCTTATTTAAGTCCAATTATCAGTTCGAAGACTAGCCAAGAGCCTTCCGTAGTATTTATACCTAAAATTATGGCCTAACCCTAACCTAGTACACATATTACATTCCGATGTCCGCCATCTTGGTTCGCATACTTCGGGAGCCCCAAAATTTATTTATTTAGGCTCAAGTATTTTCGTAAAATCACTAATTACGAATATTATTAGTTTCTCATATACCAAACACATAATGAAGAGATACAATTATTTATGTTCGAGTGTATAAAGCGTGTTATATGGAGCAAGGATTAGATCATTGTTGTTATTCATAAAAATCATACATGATTATACATGCCATCTTGAATTTAGTCGTAAAACAAATATTTATTGCCAACGATCAAAGAAGAATTGTTATTAAGAAGCCCTTAATCAGTTACATCCATCTAATGATTTTCAAAATTATAAATAAGGTGGAGGAATAATATCATCGCAGTCTTTAACTCGTCTATTCTGATCATCGTAAAATTCGGCTTTACACCCGCTACAACCGTGTACTCGACATTTTGCTCCAGGATATTTTCTGCAGACTAATCCTTCGCAAAGGTTTATGCACTTATGCATTGGTTCATTGGGGTCACACGGTCCTAAAAATAGCAAATGTCGAAGTATGTAAAGGTTTAATTAGCAATATAAAAAGTTTATGAACAATTGAGATTAATAAAAGCTGTGTTTCCATCAAGCACTTTATTAAGCGTGACTAATCCAATGATATTTGGGTTGCGTGTGTATCAGGTTAGGGTCAGGCCATAACTTTATTCCAATTTTCTTTATTTTAGTTCTATTACGTGTTCGGGGACTAGCCAACTGACTCCCGCAGTATTTATAGCTGAAATTATGGCCTAACCCTAACCTGGTACACCTACTACGTTCCGGTGTCCGCCATCTTGGTTTGCATACTTCGGGAGTACCGCAAAATTAATGGGCCACTCATATTATTGTTTATAGACATGATACAAGCGCTCAACTTTTGACAAAGCTATTTTCGAAATTATTATGCTGGCAAAATTAACGATATAATGATATTATGAATTCTTATGCAGATGGTTTTACTCACTTGGTTTTGCAGTGCAATGAGTCCCACAGAACAAATCACAACACATGTAATCCCTTCTGCAGTCACTGTTTGTATCACAAATCTTCGGACAAGCTGTTTGAGAAACTGGTGCAATAGGTGCCGGGCAGCGATAGACTTGGTCTAAAGAAAGAATGCAGTAATAGAAAATGATTTCCAAAAGCCGACGACCAGAATACCTAATCAAGGCTGCCCGGAAAATGACGGATTTATGTATTTTTAAGACCACGTGTAGCCAGAATATTGTGCGTACTGTATTTTCAGCAGGCTTCTCGCATGAAGGCAATTTCCTCGGTATCGAGTATTCAGACAGGTGAAGATATATATATAGAACACGCTACCATTTTTTAATTGTGTTATTCAACATGTACAATAACATAGATGTACTTTATTCTTACCAGGCACTTCTTGACATTCTGTACCGCGTCCATTTGAGCAACATATCTTGCCATTACGACAGTCAAGATTTGACTGGCACCGCTTTCTAGGACGTCTAGGCTTTTCCGTAACTATTTGACATCTAGGATCCGTGACTAAAGTCATAAGAAAATATTAGTAAGTAACTTTTAAAACATTAAAACTTGTGGCATTGTTTTATTTATTTAGTTGAGGCATTATAAAATAAATTTTTACTGCTCTGAAAAGCCAAGCTTTTGAGTTTTCAACGAAACTTTAAATACAGCTAAAGGATCTTGGCTCAATCAGTGCATGCGATGTTTGTGGTATGAATACGACTTCGAAATCACTTTGTAGCTAATATTGAATCCTTAATATCTCAAATTTAATCCAGAAGTGTTTTTGATATAGGTTGGTCATATCGTATGAATTAATTTTTAAAAATGCGGCTAACAATACTCAAGAGATTAACGTAATCGCAAGGAGAGTTATCGAATTGTATTGAAGTAAATAAATTGGCCTTTAAAAGTGACGAACAAACATGTGTTCAATGACAAATTGGGGATAAATACGTACTTTTGAAGACGGCTTTTCTGAGTCTGTTTTATATGGTCATTTTAAAACAATTTTTATCCGTCAACTACTGGGCGATAAAACTTCAAGAATGGCTTCTAGGGGCATATGCTTATGTTCGATTCCACAAGTTGGCGCTAACGATCAATTTTTGGTAAATATTCCATACATGCCAGCCAAATTTGTAAAAAAAAACATAATAGAGTTACGTGTGTGTCCAGCGAAGGCTAAGTGATAGTTTTGTTATCTAATTATCTTTAGTCCTAATCTCATGTAATCTTTAGTGCTCTCATGTCATTTTCCGAAAAAGATACCACAATATTATTATATATATATGGACGGAACGACCACCTGTCATTACGTATTTGAGCTTCGAGTGATTTACATCATCGTTGACCGAAGTCATTCAATCATTCTAAAATTCGAATAAGAAATACTCACATGGAGGTGATATACAATTTTGTTGACATCCGTTACTGCAACAGATATTCCCCCTTTGGCAAACATCATTAGAGAAGCAGGATGGGTGAAGGCAACGTCGAGCATGAAGTGTTCTTATAATTTCTGGATCTGGCGCGGGGCAACGTTTATCTAAAATATTTTTCAAGATATAAAAAATGAACTAATTACATATTTTCAGTACAGTGTTTCGCATGACGTTGTGCTCTTATAAGTAGCGCAATTTAACCAATGAGGCGATATTGACGGATTTGTCCAATGCCATGTAACAATTATTTCATCGCTGAAGAATAAGATAACTGATCCCAAAATTTAACTAATCAATTAAACTCTATATTATTACCCAATAGTGGATATACACAAGTTGAACCACATCCGTTGCTACAGCAGATTTGACCTTCCCGCTTGCAGTCACTGTTAGAAGAGCATGAAAAGATGCAGATTCCGGCTTGATCTCTTTGAACACTTGGGCATTTTGGATCAAATTCTTGAAACAAAAAATCATGAAAAAAATCATAATACTCATGGAGCAAAGGAAGAAGTAGAAAGTGCATGGAATACTGAAAGAAAATACATGAAAATTAGCAAGTTTAGTAAACGAAAGTCTTGTGAAGTAATTTCTATAAATAAGTAATTATGTCATTATGCTACAAAATAGGAGACTCAGATGTACAAACGTTTTTAAAGTAGTGTGCTCATATTGATGCTTCTAAAACGACGGTTAAGAAGAACTAAAATCAATTTATAATAACACATACTGTATCCGCCGCATTTACTCTGACATTTCTGCAAAGTTTCGAAGTTGTTGTCATTTCCCTCACACCCTCCGTAGAAGAATTGTTCACATGCTTGACTTTTAGTGTTGAAAAATACCTTGAAATCGCGGCTTCACAGGGGTCCTGAATCCTTTTGGTTGCTTACAAACTGACATAAAATGAATTATATATCATGCAAATTTTGATCGTGAGAATAATCATAAAGGTATACACAGGCTGATGCACGATAAAAATAACTGCGGAACTCGTGAATCAGTAAACTAACTAGATACATGAATTGTAAACGCGGGTTTGATGTTTGAAATAACGGCTTGTACTGACGAAATGTCATCACTATGAGCAGATTTATATTTGTATTCAGACACATAGAAGATTTATTCACGTTTTGTATAATAATTTCATCGGATCGTTGGTACAAAGCACCACCGGAAAACGATTAAAATAAGAATATTAGTAATTATCCGGGTTAGAAAGGCAGATTGCGGTGGAAATTCATATTTTTAAATAATTTCTAATTCTAAACCTAACCTTAACTGAACAATTACAAATTTGGTATTTCAAAACGGTGGCAGGGGTGTTTTCTTCAATCTCACATTTTTGCCGATTAGTGGCGGGGGCTTCGTAAAAAAGGGCCGTTTCATCTTCTGCTGAACAACTGAATCAAAGCATCTTTATCAGAATTGAAACTTTCTCGAAATAATTCTAATCATTTTTGGTATTTTTATACAACAATATATTACACTGTACTTACTGTCGTGACCACAAGTTCTTTGACATTTCTTCAAAGTTTTGAAATTATTTTCGTTCCCTTGGCAACCGCCATAGATGAACCGTTCGCATCTTTTGGATTTCAGTGTTTGTAATAATTATCTTGGCATTATTGGCTTTGCACGGTCCTGGATATTTTTCTTGCTTGCATACTAATATGAAAATAAATGTAGTGACGAAATATAACACTGAAATACGTATGCATATGTATAAATTTAGCCATTTTTCCGAGAAAAGAAGAAGTCTGCAGCTCTTGAGAAATATAGAATCAGTTGTAAGAGCGTTGCATATCACATGTAAAACCACAATAGCAGGATAAAACTAATATCTCAAAATAACAAGGAATTGAGTAAAGATATTTAGGTATGATATGAAATGATAAAGTGAATTCGGAAGAAAGAGACAAGAGGGGGGGGATAGCCAACGACGTTAAACAACAAATGAAAAACCTTTGAGTCAGTATGATATATATTCAGTACAAAATTTACCTGGTTTACAATTGACTTCGTTTCCAAAACGATCGTAGAAAATAGCCTCACATTTTCCACATGTATTTGTACGACAAACTGCTTTGGGATGCCTACGGCATTTTTTCTGTCGACAAGGATTGTCGGAGCATTGCACAGGTAGTTCACCGTTACGACATTCGCCTTAATAAGCAACAAATACTAATTTATTTTGTGTTTTATTAATGAAAATTGCTAAATTATTCGGCTAAATTATTCGGATCTGAAATTCTTGCAGAATGCAAATGCAAGGGATTAGCATTACATTTATTTTTATTTGGTGTTTGTATTTGTCCATTTCTCTGTGTAAAAAAAACTCGGCACCATTCTACTCACATTTTTCTGTGACTTCATTGTTGAATTGGTCAAAGAAATGAGGTATACATCCGAAGCAAGTTGGTCTGCTGTTGCTTCAATTTGTCTGGGACAAGTAGTTACATCACACGCTGGCGGTTTGCAGGCTAGCTGTCCCCACCTGGACATCCATCATCTTTGTGAAAGATCAAAAATATTTTTAACCCCATTACAAATGCGGTTTGCAGGCTAGCTGTCCCCCACCTGGACATCCATCATCTTTGTGAAAGATCAAAAATAACCCATTGCAAATGCATTTTCAGATAGAAATCGTAGTAGAGAGAACATGGTTAGATAAAATATACACATTAAAAGTGTTAAAGCAAAATATGAATCTTTATAGACTCTAATAAAGTTGTTCAAAACAAAACTCACAATAAGCATCTTTGCAAACGCGGCCGCATCCGTTGGAACAGCATAACTGATCCCCTGGACAGGAGTAATCGGTACAGAGATCTGCGCAAATACCGACCGTATCCGGCGGCAGTGATGGACAACGAGGTCG